TCTCCCTTCTTTCTCCGGAGTCCGAACTTTCTACGGTCTGGAAACGAGTTTCACTTTCCACTTGCCTGAGCCGAGAAAGCTTCCGAAGAGCGGGAAGAAATGCAAAGGAAAGAAAGAAAGGCAAGCTCTGGTCTTGGAGATTATGCAAAATGATTGGAATGGAATTAATATCGTTTATCGGTGTTGTGTGTTGCGCAATCCAATTGAAATGGAATTTGATTTACACATGTAAAGCTTTCCATTTCCATTTCGATCTCGACTTCGTTTCAGTTTTTGAGGCTAAATGGCCATTCGCAGTCATTATTAATCGTTATTACCATAACCATATGTCGGATCTCACTTGTCACATGACACTTGGCGGGGGAGGGACCACAAGTATCGGCGTCTACGGGACCTACAAGGTGCAAAACCGGTTACTGGAGCTGCTGTCATCATCGATATAAGTGAGCACTAAGCACCGCTAACCAAACGGGGCAACAAGTGGGAAAATACCAACAGAAAATCATATGAAAAAGTGGTTAAGAAAAACGTACTTTTCTGGTAATGGGTTAGGTCTTTGACATACAGATATAACCATATATCTATGTACATATATATGCTTTATGGTAGTTGCTAGCTACAGATACATGTCATTAAACCAGACGGCGGCCTCAACACCGGCACAAGGCAAGAGGTCCGTCGAGGAGGTAGGTGTCTCTTCTCCCGGCCCCGATCTCTGGTCGGTCGCTGGTCTCATCGTGTCATGGCACATTTCCACATTTCTCTCGCTTTTCGCCGGCGGGCGCATTATTCATGCCAATTTCTACAAGTTTTTCTCTCTTTTCTTTTATTTTCCTTATTTTTTTTCTGCCCAGTTTTTTGCAATTGTTCTGCGTCTGTTATTTGTTCTCAGTATAAGTAGACAATGTGGATATATACATGGCTACTACTCGTGGATACTTGTATCTTTTACTTGTTTCAGACAATGGGTTACATTAACAAGGGAATATGGAATATAGTGGCATTATAGTGGCATTTTAAGGGTTGAGTTGTAGAACTATCCATCAAGATAAGCTGCTGGGAGAAAGAACCAAGTCAAAATAATTAAATCCCATCTCAAAAACTATATTTAGCTGTAGTTATTAAGTTAAAACAATTAAGTTTAAGCTGCTTAGAAATTTGAAACTTAAAATAAAGGCTCAAAGTAACATAAATCATTCTATATATTAAATATGTTTATTTATAAAAGCTTTCAATGCTTTTTAGCATTAATTTCTTACACGGAGTCCGATAAAAAGAATTCAAGCGAAAAAATCATGATAAACAAGTATTTTTAAAACAGTATTTCATTTTATCAACGAAATATTAAATTAAAAAAAAAACCCTGCTAGAAGTAAAGTAGTGTGTGTCAAATTCGATAACCAGACTTGTTGCACGCTCTTTTGTGCTTGTGTGTGTTTCTCTTGCAACTGCCACCGTCTGTGCATTCCTGGCAAACTGGGCCAACGTCTGCTTATGGCCAAAGCGAGTGAACATGCCCCACTTGGCCCGATGTGCTCTCAGCTCTTGTTTGCTTCATTTCATTATGTTTGATTGCATTTTACATGTGTATGTGCAGTCGATTCGTTGATACTCCTCCGATCCCCCGGCAGCTGTGCGATGTTGTCATCCAGCCATCCATATAGCCATCCTACGGCCCACATCCTACGCCCGAATCTGCACATAAAACCAAAACAAGACATTTTCCACTGTGGTCGAGGTCGTTGCTGTTAGCTGTTAGCTGTTTCTCTTCTATTTTTATTATTTCTACTGCCAGACGGGGCCGAACTGGTTAACCAAAAGTTAACCAAAAGTAAAGCCCACGTTTAAGTGCAGGCTGGCAAGAAATGCACTCGAAGAAATATCAACCTTAAGTGGGTATCAATTGGTTAAATATATCAAGTATTTCCTTGTTGAATATTATTTATTCTGGTTGCCAGAAAAATATGGATTTTCTTTAAGAAATATAAACTTTAGAAAAAATAATATAAATATGAGTAACGCCTTAAGATTCTTTCTTTTTGTTTGTTCTTTGTTTTCTGTTTGATTTGTGAAATACAAAACTGTGAAATATAAAACATAAACCATCTTAAAGTCTAGTTTTGGACTTAATTTCCTAGATAATCGCTCAACATTTAAAACCATCTATAATATTTGCTGTGTGGGCTGACCCTTTCATAGCCAATTTCCTAGCCACATTAATAGACCGATCCACCTTTTCATGGCTTAAAATTTATTGGCGTCGTTTTGAAGTTTTTGTGACCCAATTTTGGGCAATTTTGTGGTCGAGGGAGATCCCCCTCGCCGAAAACGCACATGTTGCATATGCGTGGTTGGATTTTTCAGTTACCAAATGTATGTGAATCCGGCATATAGATAGACAAATATATATATAGACATGTCTAGGCGGATAGAGTATGATTTTTGGCAACAGATTGCGAGAGCAGCAGAGGCATACAGAGAGCCAGAGAGATCGAATAAGAAGGCGGGTGGTTGGAGGAGCGACGTCAGTTTTTAAATAAGTGACAAAATATGCAGAGGCAGACGTTCTGTATATATAAAGACCACACCGCTGCTCTCTCCCTCTATATGTACACGCACCTCAAAATATACGAGATGAAAATGGCCAAAATGAAAGATATAAAATAGAATTCGATGACGCAAACTGTGACAGACATTACACATGGGCCCCAAAGAAACCTCAAAGCGAAACGGAAGTGACCAGCCACAACTGTCCTTGTTTGCTACCACCAACCCCCCTGAAAATTATTTCGATAAGAAATTCAGCCTTGGCAACAAAAGAATCTCTCACAGTATCAGTATCTTTGTCTGGCAAACTCCTGAGTTGATAATATATATTATTTTAATACGACTATCTATCCGCGGATGGTATTCACTGACTCACTGCCTGAGGTTCCCGATTTACACAGATCGAACCAACTAGGGAAGTGCGGTAAACAAAGACCTTAACCAGCAAGAGCCCAGACCACCGTTCGGTTTCAATTACGAAAATGGTCATTAAAATGTCTTAAGGCGGCAACAGGTTTCTTGGCTAAGCCATAATAGCGACAGCTACCCATAAAAGGTTCATTCGACGGAGCTGCACTGGCTGAAAATAGGTGGAGATACTCTTCACTTGGCCAAAAGCCAAGAAAGAACTTTGACTGGGGTCATAAAAGCGGCTTGTAAATATTGTAAAACTCTTTAATTCATCTGATTTCGAAGCACTTTTTCAGCCTTAATATTATAACATCAAGGAACTGGCCAATAAAATAGCTGTTGGTATTTCAAAGAGCTTCCAGATAAGATATGCTCACGGAAGGGCATTCCACGTTCTTGTTCTTCATTCAGTCGGTTTTTGTTCTCCAACATTTTGACTTGGCTAATTCCGAATGCGTGCCACATGTCGCGGCTCATTTGACAATCACTCATAACGGGCTTAACGGAGTTGTCGAAAAAAAAAATAGTAAAAACAAAAAGCAACCTGCTTGGTCTTTAGAGGAAGTGGAAATCGAAACTTCCGACCGAATGAGTCGCCTTTAAAGCTACACAACAAGAAATATGATTGCAAAATTGTGACCCTTTTAATAAATTATGAAATGGGAAATACATAGGAAAATCTATCATTTATTAGAAGCTTTTAAACATGTTTTATGGTTATTAGTATTGTCATATTTTCTATATTTTCTTTTATTTAAAATTTTTATAAGAAGCTGTAAAATTATTTCATGTTCTTATTTTCAATATTTTCTGTTATTTACTTAAATACGATATTTGCAATTTCGATATATTCAAGCTTACGATATGATTGATATTATGCGCGATATTTAATCGACATCATATCGTTTTTTACCGTAGATTTAATTACCAAATTTGTATTTATTCTTTCACATGTTCATGGATATCATAAAATATCACTGAAATGACCTCCCTAATATTAGTTTTTTTTTCCACGTGCACCTATTTAAATGAACAATGACTGCAGCAGGTATTTGTATCTAATTATCTATCTCCCGAGCGTTGTGCGCAAAATTCAATTAGCCAACCTTGTTATCTCCTTCGGCCTTTGCGTTTTTTTTGTTTTTGTTTTTGGCCAGTTTAGATAGGACTGGTGGAATGGCCTCAAATATTTGGCCAGCATTTTGTTGGATCTCGGCAAATAGAGTATATTTTCCGCTTATCTATTTGGCGGGCTATCTCCGCTGGTTGCGTATACGCACAGATGGCCGAGACGAGAGCAAGTCACTCTGACTCTTGAGACGTGGGCGGCGCTGTAATGATGAAAACTGTTACAAGGCTGCGTTGTCAACGTGCCTTCGGTGATTTTTTTCCACCTCCGAGCACACTTCCTGCCCCTCGTCTTTGTCCGCTTATTGGGGTTCTTTAATTGGTCGTTGAGAGGCCATTAACTGTGGCCCGGATAAGTGCCACAAATTGACCAGAGGCAAAGGCATAATAAAGAAGAAATATACCATCGTTGTTAACCCAAATTCAAGCAGACTGTGTGCGAGAGTGTGAATGGGCTTTTGCCGAAGATAAGATCGGCAAGTGCCAACAGATTTAGAGGCCTTTTCCACATTTTCCGACACCAAATGAATCACAAGAAAATGCTGTCAAAGTAGTTTTTTTTTCTGCCATTTGTTAATTCGCAAAGTTGAATGCTTGAATGAGTGAAGTCAAGTCGAGTTTAATGGTGCTGCCTGCCCACATTCCGCAACAATTGGAATTTCGCATTGCTGCTATTGACCGACCTTGATCCTACGCAAGTCAAGAGAATTACGAAAATTTGACAAAAATACAAGTTTTTAATTCTCTTTAAAAATACATTCAGCTGTTTTTATAATTAGTTGATTCTTAGGTTTTTACCATATTAAAGCCTCATCCTTTTCCTTGGCTTTAAACAAGTGGTTTCCCAGCCTATATTAAGCCCTAAAACCATTCCTTTTTATAAACTATATTAACCTTTTTTTTAATTTTTACAGATTCTACAAAACTTGGGCAAAGTTGATCGCACTGCAGATGAAATCTTGGACGATCACTTGAATAACTTTAACCGGCAGCAGGCCAGTGCCAACAGATTACAAAAGGAGTTCAATAACTACATAAGATGTGTTCGTGGTAAGTCATCAAGTTGATGCTTCCAAAGCCCTATTCAAACTAATGATAAACCGTATCTAATCCAAAACAGCTGCACAAACCGCCTCCAAGACGCTGATGGATGCCGTTTGCGAGATCTACGAGCCACAGTGGAGCGGCTACGATGCCCTGCAGGCACAGACTGGCGCCTCGGAGAGTCTGTGGGCGGACTTTGCGCACAAACTGGGTGACCAAGTGCTCATTCCCCTCAACACATACACCGGACAGTTTCCCGAAATGAAGGTAGCTGCTTGGCTAATTACCAATCTCAATAGAAAGTTAAAAATTATGTTTTTCTGCAGAAAAAAGTGGAGAAGCGCAATCGCAAGCTGATTGATTACGATGGCCAGCGTCACTCCTTCCAGAATCTGCAGGCCAATGCCAATAAGCGCAAGGATGATGTCAAGGTGGGTTCTGGTATTAAATATATGTTATTTATTTATATAATATGAGGGAATGTTATGTTTTAACAGCTAACCAAAGGACGCGAACAGCTGGAGGAGGCCCGACGCACCTACGAGATCTTGAATACGGAACTGCATGATGAGCTGCCCGCCCTATACGACTCGAGGATACTGTTTTTGGTCACAAACTTGCAAACCCTTTTCGCCACAGAACAGGTGTTCCACAACGAAACGGCCAAGGTGGGTTTAAAGCTTTAATTAGGTAGAGAAATTCAAGATAACAGCCGACTTTAAAAATATATAAAACTTCAAGTTATAGGTTCCCTTTTCTAATTCTTATTTGCATAAATAAAATAACTTTTTTATGATTGTTTAACCAAAAACAGATCTACTCGGAACTGGAGGCTATCGTCGATAAATTGGCCACAGAATCGCAGCGCGGTTCCAATACGCTACGCAAACAAACAAGTAAGTTTGTCCATCCTACAGATCTTGTAGCTTTAAATTATATATAAATAAACTCCACACTCTCTCGCCAAAAACAGGCAATCCCATCAAGACATCGAGTCCAGTGGAGTCGCCGGTCAGCAAGCTAAACAACGCCAACATCAACAGCAACTATCAGAATCAGATTACCACCAACGGTGGCTCCAGTCTGGCAAACAGCCGTAAGTTCGCCCGAAAAGGGGTTTTCCATACCAAGCCAAGCACCATTCTCAGTTTGTCTCTCTTGGGAACTCCCTCTGAGAACTATATAAGTATCCTCTGTTTATTTATCAATTCTTTTGTTTCTTTGCTTTTCCTTGATTTCCTACGTTTCTACGTTTTTTATATCGTTTTTTTCCTAACGAACCAAACAAAAAATAATCAATATAAATTGCTCAAAACACTGTACAAACAATCAACGTACCCAAAATATCCCATTAAAATCCAAAAATCCATTAAAGTTTAAAATATATTTCTGAACTGATGATGTATTATACAAAAACAAAAAAACAGAGCTCAATATTATACACAACATATAGATTATCTGTATAAACATATATTATATATTATATATAATCTGCATATACTCTGCTGATGAAAATGTTTTTGGCAATTTATAGGAAATTTTTTGCTTTTCTTTTCAAACTAATTATGTTAACTATTCGTTTTTGAGTTTAAACTAAAACTAAAATATACTTTTTGGCATTGCAAGAACATTCCATTTGTAGACAAAACTAGTTTGTAAATAAGGTCTGGCGATCTGGGTTAGCTTTAAACTTAAGTAACTATAAATACACGTATGGGATCGGGATCCCCCTTTTATGTGCCTTTGCTCCCTGCTAAAAAAGACGAGATTGGAAGCCCTGCAAATGAGGTTAACCCAGGTGGCCATCGACTGACAATGCGGACAATGGTCAAATGGAATGTTGCATGTTCTTTTGCTGCTTCTCCAAGAGTTCTGATTGAGTTTCCTACCCCCTTAAAACCCTTTTGTCCTTTGCATGTCCTGAGTTTTATTTGATTTGTTTTCTCTCTTTTTTTATTTAATCTTTTGTTTTGGAATGATGCTCTCTAACCACAATGTAAACAAACGAATGATATAACAAAAACAACAAAAAACTGCATACATCACAACGTATAAAATATAAAAAAAATGAAAAAAATACACACGCGAAACAAAACGAAATGAAATGACACGAAAAAAAACCTGCAAACAATTAGCAACCTCCACCAGCTCGTCGCTGCAAGAGCCGAGATTTGATTCAGTTTCTTCAACACCAGAACCGACACCGGATTCCCCGCCAGCTTCCAGCAGGAGTCCCGCGGAGAACGGTGTGGCAGCGACCGCAGCCAAGCCAGCGGAACGTCCCGACCTGAGCGGCCTGAACGCGAGTGCCACGCAGGCGACCACAACCACACAGACCTCGCCCACGGCCGAGGAGAAGGAGAAGGTCAGTGAGACAGCGGCGGCAAAGCAGCTAGGAGCTGGCGATGCCACTGAAGGAGCCGAAGCCACACCTGTAGCAGCAGCAGCAGCAGCAGCAGCTGCGCCCCAGGTTAACGGGAACAACAATGAACCGCCGACGTCCACTAGCAATTCCAAGGAGGGCGGCAAGCAGCCCAAGGAACTGCCCAGCACCAACAGCAGCAATGCCGAGGCAGCTGCCGAAGCGGCGGCCAACAATGGCAACTCCATCGAAGAGCACAAGCAGAAGAAATTAGGTAATGACACCGACACCGACACAGACACGGCCACAGTCACCACCGCAGACACCATCAAGCACCTAGTTACATCAGCAGATACAGAAATCAAATCAAAATCCAAATCCAAATCAGATTCAGATTCAGACACAGTCACTACCAAGAACAGCAGCAGCACAGGCACAAGTCAGAACAGTAGACCCATACCTAGTAGGCACAGCGTAACTAATCCCAATAAGAATCCGTTTGAGGAAGACGACGAACGCATCTACGAGGTGCCAGCTGGTGAGTAAACCTCGAAACGAGTCGTCCACTGGGTCGTCGCTTCCCACTCTCTGCCTCTTCTACTGTACATCTCTGTAGTATCTCTCTTTCTCACTTTGTTTCCTTGGAACAAGTCTAATATCTGTGCACTAAGCTTGACACTAGTTTCCTGTGATTGTGAGGACTACTCTCTCTGTGTATTGTGTATTGTAAAGCGATGTGGCGTGTGTGGCATGCTGCTCGAGGCATTCATCCCACCAGAGAAGAGCAAACAGGAGCAATCTCATTTCCCGGGCTCTGCATCTATGTATCTCTCTTTTCATTCAGTACTTGTGTATCTCTAGTTTGGAGTAAGACACACACTTCATCTGGTCTTAATCCGGGACAAGGGCAGCCCTTCCTTGGTGGCAGGTGTCCTTCTAAATCTAAATCTAAATCCAACACGTAGGTTATATCGTACAAATATCTAAAAAATAATTAAACACACATCAAACCAAATCATTGCCTGCACGTTCGCTGCTTCAGTTCAGTTTATCTTTGGTTTATTTCCCAAAAAAAAAAACATTAAAAACTCATTCTATTAAAAACTAACCATGCGACAAAAAAAGGCCTGAGAACGAGCTCGACGCACACTAACCTATTTCTGGCCAGGATTGCGTTGACGTTGTGTTCCTTTGCGTGCGTTTGTTTGTCTACTAAACTCGGTTTTGCAACTTTCGATGTATACTGTGTGTGTGACTTACGAGTCCCTTAAGTTTGGTTAACCTTCAAGCAGATTCTAAGATATGGTTGTTCTCTTGTGTCTTTATCTCGGAAACAGATGCCAACACCGCTGACTTGCCAGCCGGCGTCCTGTACCGTGTGAAGGCCACCTATGGCTATGTCAAGGAAGATGTGGATGAGCTGAGCTTTGAAATTGGAGACACAATTCGGGTGATCGAGTACGATGACCCCGAGGATCAGGTAAAGTCAATTGCGTAAGGCTGCTTTGGGTATTTTAGAGGTGCTTTTGCGAGTGATATTGTTATGTACTATTTGAGTTTTTCATGAAATAAGATACTTTGTTGATCTTTTAGGTTTTAACCTGGGGAAAAATACACTAAAGGTTGAGCAAAGCAGCACCCTATAATATTTATTTAATCCCACCAGCATTGAGTCTGCTAAACCATTTTTTTTTCTTACAACATATTACATCTTTTGTAACTGGCTGTTAAAGTTCCCGTTAGTTAAAGAACAGATAAACTTATTATAAAATGTAATCCGGTTTCCCAAACGTTGAGAATAATATTTCTGAACGAAAAAGATAAACAGTTGACAACAGAATTTTACTGTAATTGTGTACTGTTTTAGCAGGAACTTTATCGGTCCGATAAATTTAAACAGTGAGGTTTGAAAAGTCCGTAAGTCGTTAGTTTTACAAGTATTTATTTCAAGTTTTCAAACCCTCACAACAATCTTATAATTTTTTATAAAAAATTAACCCTTTTGGAAAAGTAAATCAAGTACTATAGCAAACCTTTCAAAAGCATCATCATCAAGTCTTCGGAAACATCCGAAGTTCAAAGATTCCTCTTAAGCTTTGCACGCGCTAGTTTCCCCCTCCGCGCCGAATTCAGACACCCGGCACTTCCTGTCTTTATTGAGTGCAGTTCTTCATTACCCACTTGCAGGAGGAGGGCTGGCTGATGGGTCAGAAGGAGGGCACCACCGAGAAGGGCCTGTTCCCCGCCAACTTCACGCGTCCCATTTGAGCTGGAGGAGGAGAGGCTTACGGAGAAGCCACCGAGCTAGCAACGAACCAGGAACGGCGCCAGCAGCAAAAGCAAAAGCAACAGTAACTTCAGTTAAACTATAAACCCACACTTTTGAAACGGAGATCCGATCCCCCCCATCATAAACGTTCGGCCTAAATTATCTTTGTGAGCGCTGCCTCTACTTTTGTTCAATATTAATAAATTCTTGTTTTGTGAAATGTCTCCCTTGGATTAACGATCTTTCCAGCGATTGTAAGAGCAGTGCTTCCAACCATAAATTATAAATTAGAAATTAAAATTAAATTATTGTTAACGAGAACAAAAACCAACACGAGAACGCAGTTGAGAGTAGAGGGAATATTTTTGAAGATGTTTCAAACATTATTTTTTAGTTCTAAGTTTCAACAACAACAACAACAAGAAAATCTAAAGCATTAAACTACGTATACATATACATATATTATTTGTTAATCCTATTATTGTGCTCATAATTAATTAATGCGAACAAAACGTATCTAATTTGTAATTTGTTGAAGGCAAATCACAGAAAAATGTAACGCATATCACTCGAAAGCCAGAGTAATTGTTAAACCCAATCAAAAGTCGGATGAGGAGTACCTTTTGTATGTGTATTTTGCGAATATGTAGTACGAGTTTTTTATAGTCAATTGAGTGTATTTTTGGGGCGATGCAAAAAAAAAAAAAAAAAAGGCCAGCTAAAATTTACTTTTGGGCGTTCGGCGTTACCAGTTGTCTGTCCCTGAGTTTTTTTATGATTTGGAAATTATGTTTTTATGTAACAACCCTAACGTGTAGCGTTTATTTGTATTTTAATCTTTTTATTTTGTATTTTGTTTTCTTAATTATCGTCCGAGAGACTCGAACTAGCCGCAGCTTTATAACACGAACACAATCCAATAGTCACTAACCGATCGATTCGATGTTTTTATTTTTATTTAACTCTCGATTGTAAATCACACGAACCCGAAATAATTGTTTAAATTGTGCACACTGTAAAGTTATTATTTAAATTTTATTTAATTAATTTAAACACTTATTTATCGCATGAACATATTGAACAAAATGATAATAATTTACAGAGATGCAAATAAAACATAGATTAAATAAAAAAAAGTTTTTGAAATTTATTGGCATTGCCGTCCGGGGTGTTTCAAACTATTATGTAAAGGTAATATACCTTAAATTAAATATATTTTGTTCTTTTGAATTTATAACTTTATCTTGAGTATATTTTTATTATGCTTTTAAATAAAACCGCAATCAAGCAGTGTTTGCAAGTGGTACAGGTGCGGTATTTTTTGGTTTGTAGAAATATGTGAGCTATCCTCGATATTTGCCTTCTCCGTGCTTCAAATAGATTTCGGTTTATTCAAGGACTTTGATTTTTTAGGATAAAAAAGGCTTATTTTAATATACATCGGATATTAGCAGAAATGTTCTATTATAAAAAGTTAATTGTGTTGAAAACGGCTGTTTCATTTGGCTTTTTTGTAGCTAAAAAAATGCTGCCAAACAATATACTGGCACCATTGTTATCGGAATCGATAACACAACAGACCCCTAATTTAAAAGAAAATCCCAATTGGAACCGGATAACCTGTGACATGTAAAACGACCATTAGTTTGGTGTTAAAAATGGAATTGTAGATGTACTAAACACCCACACAGAAAACGGTATAAATTGTTTTGAGGGGGTTGTAATTTTAGTAAAATATTTGTTGCAAGTTGTACAACATACTGCAAATATACCGAATCATACCGCAAGCGTAGTTATCGTTGGTGCTGCCTGCTGGCGAAGAAGTCACGGTTATCACAGCGAAAGTCCATCGCTAGCGAGTTACAGCCAAAAAAAAACACCCCGCTCGTGCGTCAACGTTAGAAAAATGCAAAATTAAATATGTTGTGAGTAGCGAAGAAAGCCCAATCGACTATGTTGTGAGTTGCGATCGAGTTCCCCGCCCCATCGCGATCCCAGCAGCCACCGGGCGCCGTCCCAGACCCGTTGGCAGGCCCCCCAAGAATTTTGCTCGCAGTCGAAATCCGCTGAAAAAAGCCGTGTTAAGTGCGCTATTTTGCTAAAATCCGCGAACGGACCTAGTGCGGACTAGCGAGGCGACGACGTGGTGATTAAACAATTGTTCGGAGCTCCAAGATCCTGGCGAATTGCTTTTCTGCCACAATTTTTTCGTTTTTGGCCTCGCCCGTCGTCGTCGCTCTGTGTGTATTCGTAAAGCAGTGCGCCGCTCCAGGGAGTGCGAGCGAAACAGCCAATAGCGGGTGACAACACTGCAGTGCGCACTGCTTGCCGGAGGAAAACACCAGATACGGCGGATTGGAAAAAAAAAGTTTAATAATCGTTGCGAATCGCGAAAAGAGCTAGTGCGTTGCTTTTGGGGCTATAGTTTTTCGATTCCAGACGTGTTCTGACATCGAATTAACCCTTTGGCGTCAAATGGGATACAGTGAGGTGTCCGGGTTTTTGCAAAGGCGCAGTGCTAGTCCGTTCTAGTTGGAAAAGGGGAGGGAATGGGAAGGGGTGGGCAGTTGCTTGCCCAATGACGCTGTGTGTTTACCTTAGCCGAGATACCGTTGATTCGAGATTCGAATTAGATTATGATTTTGCGGACTGCATGCACCGTTTTTTTTTCGCCCCCCTTTTAGATCTTACACTTGTTTTCTGCGCCCGCCACCCCACCACTCCAGCTTATTATCATCACCCCGTATCTCTGTTTCTTTCTCTCTCCCTCTTTACTTGCAGTTCCACTGCATACAGAAAAATAAACAAATACAAGAAGCATAAAGTATGCAGAAAATTAAATTCAAAAGGAGCCACTAAGTGTTTCGTGTGAAATCAATTTAGCGTCGTTCTCCGTGCTGCTCGTCGTCGTCGTCGTCGTACATACTCTTCTGTTACTGTTTCAATTACACTACAATGAATATTTGTTGAAACTGGCGTTGCATTTACAGACTGGTGTTTAAAAACAACAACAACAACAACAGCAAATTGACAACTATAAACAAACAACAGCAGCAACAACAAACAGCCCCCACACAAAGCAAAAATATCCACATATAAAAATAGTATCATACTTACGTTAAGCCGCAGCAAAAGTCGAAAGGAAAGTTTTATATATTACAAACGCACCAGTAAAAGATATAAATAAAAAAGTAACCAACTACACACGTTCCTTAAAACAAATGTTTTCCAAACCGCAAACCAACTAAACGAAATGCTTTTGAAATTAGTTTAAGCCAAACAAAACCAACAAACCGCAAAAAGCCGCGAAAAGTTATCTCAACATAACGAAAAACACAAAAAAAAACAAAAAATCGGCAGGGAACTCAACAACATCAACCAACACACACGGATTAACCGAAGGAGCTTGGCTATAGTGCAAACCTAAAGAGTTGATTACGGAATAGCCTGGAGAATCTCGTCAGAATCATCCTGCCTCCGATAAATTAATGCGTGAGTACTATTTATATTACTATTTGGTAATATAAATATTTAAGGGCCGGTTTCATGTCTGGTTGTTAAAGTCCCTGATAGCTAACTGATCAAAAAAGGGTAAAAATGATATCAATTGGTTGTTACACCCCAATTGGGGTTCTCTATACCCTATGATATGCAATTATTCTGATCAAGAACGGTAGAAAAAGAAAGGTAGATAGGAAAGTATTTCTATCAGGAATCTTTCCGTTAATTTTTAACAGACGAACAACGGCAATAAATCTTCTAAAAGGTATTAAAAGAAAGAAGAAGATTGCAATGCTTTATTATTTGTATAGAATTTTAAACATTTTTAAATATAGATTATAAAGAATGGAATTCTGGTTTCACCTCTATATGCCCGATTTGTTATTGACTCAAATTTTAACATCCAAAAGTGTTAAAAAAAAGAATTTTTTGATTTCCAAAGGATTAATACAACCACTTGTTGGCCTGTCTTAATAAATAAATATTCCACAAACAGTTCACTATGCTATAAGTTTAATGGCTAGATGTTTTTGCAAGTCACTATAAAGAAACATGTACTTCACATAGGATATTTATACACTGGTGTCACAGAAATTAATATTAAATTAATAGTTTAAGCTTGCAATTAAATTGTATATTTTGTTGAATTAGGGTTTAATATTTTCTAAATCATACTTCTGTACTTGTTTTAAATTTATATCAAAAACCCTCTTCTAAAGCCCCCCCTGCTGATCGAGATTTTTCAAGTTCAAGGCTCAGAACCCCTGTTATTTGCCGCCACTGCCCTTAAACTTCGATAAGAGCTACAGAACTGTTGAGCGGGGAACAAAGTTCAGTGAACATAAACTAAACATGAGTAATAAGCAATTGGAATTTCCGATCCAAAATCGCTTAAACCTTATATTTAGAAAATCGTCGGGACCCAGAGCCGACTGAACGCATAGCTTGGAGAAACAGTAGCCGTCTTCAGATTAAGAAGACAAATCAAATGTTATCTCTGAATGGTTTTATCATAAGCACATATGCACAGATAAGACGACTGTTGCGGATTCAGTGGCCCCTCCCACCCTCTGTCGCAGCAGCGATTCGGTGGCATGATATATCTGGCGAACTATTGTTAAAAACCGCTTCACTGCGCCAATTCTCCGTGCCCCTGCCCCTGAATTTTTTCCGGCTATTGCTAATTAGATTTTGTGGCTTTGCTCAGCGAGAGGCGAGAGCGTTTTCCCCCGATTCCAGCCCACTCACTAATCCCAGGCCGGGTGGTCACCCATGACTTTGTCCAGATCTTCAGTGATTCCTCCTGTTCTCCGGCTCTTTGTCAAAAATTTATTTGCTGGATATTCCATCGATATTTTGTAGTCTCCTACGGGACTAACGAGACCTTGCCTCCATGTCCATGTCATAGTATTCAGCCAACGAAATTGGATTAGCAAACACTCTATATGGGAATAGAGTGCACCAAAAGAGAGAGAGGAAATAGCTATAGTCGACGGTGGCCTATAGGCTTGCCCTATGCTGAACCCGTGAATGGATGATGTCTATGAGTGGACCAAAAATTCAGGTTATGCCCCAAGAATAACTTCAAAATTTAGAGATAGTTTTGCATAGATCAATAGGCTTCGATATGTCTATATTTTGGATCAATTAAGCAATTTAATGGAATTTTGATACGATCACTATCTAGGTTTATGTTTAGGGTTCCCTTAGACTTTTCCTTTGAGAGCCACCCAAATTAGATTTCAGTATGTAGCTTGGTCACCCTCGCGAACCCAGTGCAAGCCCACTGCGAAGCCATATATTGGACCAAAATCAGCTTTCTCGCAATGAACTTGGCCGGGGGAACGCTTCCTCAATCTGTTGCCACCTGCTGAAGGGCGATCGGCGGGGCAGGTGTGTGTGCTCCCAGTGTCTGCGCAGAGAGAGAAAGACACTGAGAGATTGCAAGGCAGAACGGAAGCGACAATAGAACCAGACTAGACCAGACTATGGGCCAGAGCCAAAGCCAATGCCATGGCCAGGAAAAAGCCAGGGGTAGCCGCAGGCCATGGGCCATGAGGGAATCTATATCCGACGTCGTCATCGACGTCGCCAGCTCGGGCCAGCGGGGCAGGCAAATATGAAATGTTAATTGCCAGCACCGGACACAACGTGGCGAACTCTCGTTGAGCTAACAACTCTGGTGGTCCGTAAGGCCCATAGCCATTCAGCTTCACTCGGCTCGCTTATGCAACGCAAAATCAATCCTAAATCAAAGTTTTCCTCTCTTTTGCAGATGCCCTTGGATCGTGTTCGATGTGGTTTTGGTTCAATCGTATCCATCTCTCTCAGCCGTCGCGTCACCGAAGTCTGGTCGAGGTCCTAGCCTAAGCCGGAATAGCAATAGCCAAAGAGAGCCGGACGAGATCTGCAGTGGAATCAAAGCGCCGAAGTACAAATGCATCAATCGAAACTGAAACTGAATCTGTAACTGAGAAACGGGTACCAAGCAACGGACACCTTGATACAACAACAGCAGAAGCAACCAATTAGATTAGGCGACAGGAAGTCCAGAGGAGCTGAGAGGACACCATCCCACCACCACCACCAAACATACATCTTCTACACGGAACGGCGGCGGGTCGAGCGTAGTGGCTGCAGCACGCGAAAGCGTCCATAAATCTAGTTAGCATGGAGTGCTGTTTATCGGAGGAGGCCAAGGAACAAAAGCGCATCAATACGGAAATCGAGAAGCAGTTGCGCCGGGACAAGAGAGATGCGCGTCGCGAGCTTAAACTGTTGTTGCTGGGTAAGTGTGTCCCCATTTTGATTGCACTTAACTTGGCCTAATGCAATTGCCGACGACGGCAGCAAACTACATTATATACATTTTATCTATATATCCTTAGGCACTGGCGAGTCCGGCAAGTCAACATTTATCAAACAGATGCGCATTATCCACGGCAGTGGCTACTCGGAAGACGACAAGCGCGGCTACATCAAGCTGGTCTTTCAGAACATATTCATGGCCATGCAATCAATGATCAAGGCCATGGACATGCTGAAGATATCCTATGGCCAGGGAGAGCATAGCGTAAGTTGTTTTGGATAAATAATTAATTATATATAATTAAAATCTAAATGTAACGCTTAGGAACTGGCCGATCTGGTGATGAGCATCGACTACGAAACAGTCACCACGTTTGAGGATCCATACTTGAATGCCATCAAAACGCTGTGGGACGATGCTGGCATCCAGGAGTGCTACGATCGTCGTAGGGAATATCAATTGACAGATTCAGCCAAATAGTGAGTTGGAAATGGATTAATTCCTGCTGATAAGACAAGACTCTTGACTCTTGACTCCCGACATTGACTCTCTTGAATTCTTTTTACTAAATCATTGATCTTATCTTCGCAAAAACATATAGTTATCTGAAGGATCTCGATCGTGTGGCTCAACCTGCATATTTACCCACTGAGCAAGACATTTTAAGAGTTCGTGTGCCGACAACAGGGATAATTGAGTATCCCTTTGATTTAGAAGAAATCAGATTTAGGTATATTATTAGTTCTCTTTTTGATATTTCCATGTTTGCATGTCTTCTGGTATAACATTTTGCTTTAATTCAATTCAAAACTAACGTCTTCTAGCGCAAGTCTACTATTTCGTTGAGTTAAGTTAGGAAATAGGGAATTCTAGGGACTGGGACGGATTGTAAGACAAATGTAGAAATTTATTGTAGTTTTTCGGTCTCTAAATATAATTTATTGAAATATTTAATTTAGCTACTTGAGCGACATAGCTCGTATTGAGCAGGCCGATTACTTGCCCACTGAGCAGGATATTCTACGTGCTCGTGTGCCCACAACTGGCATCTTAGAGTATCCATTCGATTTGGATGGCATTGTGTTTAGGTATTGTTTTTGGAATACATATTAAGCAATCCGAGGCTAGAACTATAAGCTAGTGAAAGACGTAATAAGTAATATTATTTGTGGCTTGCGCTTTTAACAAACTATGGCTTTTATAATGCTTTTGCGTTGCTTGAATTTATAGCCTGTTTATATTTTTTACTAATTGTTTATTCTTGTATCCAACACACACACAGAATGGTGGACGTCGGTGGCCAGAGATCCGAGAGAAGAAAGTGGATTCATTGTTTTGAAAATGTGACATCAATTATATTTTTGGTAGCGCTATCGGAATACGATCAAATTTTGTTTGAATCTGATAATGAGGTGGGTCTTTAAATTGATATATTCATAGTTTAAGCCTTAAACAATTGACTTATTCCCCTTGCAGAATCGAATGGAAGAGTCTAAAGCTTTATTTAGGACGATAATTACCTATCCATGGTTCCAGAACTCGTCAGTTATTCTTTTCCTGAACAAGAAGGACTTGTTGGAGGAGAAAATTATGTATTCGCATTTGGTAGACTATTTCCCTGAATACGATGGTAAGTGTTTTCCTTGAAAATCCTTAAAGCGACCACAATTATTTACGAATTTATGCGGCGATATGAAACTGAAATCAGGTCCCAAGCAGGATCACGCTGCAGCCAAACAGTTTGTTTTGAAAAAATACCTGGCCTGCAATCCAGATCCAGAACGTCAATGCTACTCGCATTTCACAACGGCCACAGGTGGATGCCATTCGCCTATATTAGTCTCTTTAAATTCGCTTTAAATTGCCCAAATTCATCAGTAGATTAATTGCTAGCTCCTGTAGTTACACGCTAGAGATAACATATCGTAACTATTCTATATTCTTTAGGTCCACAGCGAGATGCAATAGCGGCCCGAGAATTCATACTGCGAATGTTTGTAGATTTAAATCCAGATTCTGAAAAGATTATCTATTCTCATTTCACCTGTGCTACCGGTAAGTAATTATTATACAATCGGGCCATCCTTTCGGGGCGTGTGTGCGTGCGTGTGATTTTGAATTTCAGCTACAAAAAAGTTTACAAATTCCTACTTTAAAATGGTCAAAGGTAATCTCTGTTGTTAAACATCATTTGCATTTGCATTTGCTTTTCTCGCTGGTGTAGAGTATCGCTAGTCCAACTCCTTGACTATATGCAATTGATTTCTAATGAAATGAATATCTATTGGGAAACAGATACCGAAAACATCAAACTTGTGTTCTGCGCTGTCAAAGATACAATTATGCAAAATGCACTTAAGGAATTCAATTTGGGCTAAACTGGCGAGGATATCGGGATAGAGAAGCTGACAAAGCAAATGAATAATTGATTTATAATGTATATGATTTTAAAAGTCCCTGAATAAAAATTCATAATTATCCTTTACTCAACTGGAATGGATGGAAATGAAATGGATTGGAATGCGTGTTGTTAAGCTGAGATCGTAAATAACAGTTGGAGCAACTAAGCTCTCTGCTTAAAGGTTTTATAAATAAGACTTGTAATATCCTTGCAAAGTATTATAGTTTCAGTAAGGATGTTGATATCAGCATCAACAGCCGATTTTATCTAGCCATGCTTGTTTCTTCAAAAATTGCAAGGGTATACAAACTTCGACTAGCTGAAGTTAGCATGCTTTCTTGTTTTCAACTGTTATTTACGAAAATGTATTAAATCCACCCAACAAACTAATTGCAAATCTCTTCTCTCTCTCCCCCCATTTAGATACGGAAAACATAAGGTTTGTGTTTGCAGCTGTTAAGGACACAATTCTGCAATCCAACCTTAAGGAATACAATTTGGTCTAAACTGGATTTTGGATCGAAGAAACTATTTTTGTGATTTTTATACAAACACACACACACACACACACATACACATTCATATAATTCCTTTTTCGCATATTTACTAAATATAAAAGAGAGAGAAGAATTGGAGAAGCGCGAGCGAATGTGGCCGAAAATTAGGCATTAATTACATAGATCCCGAGAGAGTTTCTTAAGTTTGTGTAACATCAGGAACCGAAAAAATTGTAGCATAAAAAGAAAATAGAATACGAAATACTAAAGATGGTAAACCCAGCAGCAGTGTCACTAAAAAAAATGAAAGAAATGAAATGAAGATGTGTATACATTTTAATTTTTTGAGAGAAAGGTTCAACGAGAGGATAATATAACAAAAGGAAAATCTGATACAAGTGCCGATGCAAGGTGACTGCAAATAGGCCCAGGAGCCAAGTTAGTTTCTCGCTTTATACTACGAATATATCGATGATCGTAGAAGGAATACCTTTTGTACTAAAACTTTGACAACGGACAGCTTTTTTTACTGAACAAATGCATTGTGATTTTAGCAGGAGAAACCCTTGGTAATCGATCGAGAGATGGTATGCCAAGCGTTTTGATAGAAAAGTACGCTTCAGAGGCGGTTGCTGTCACCCTGTATCGGTACTAATTAAACAAACTTGATTACTATAGAAACTTTTGTAATTAAATAACAAAAACCCGAAACAAAAATTAAGAAACGTAAATTTAATCAAAAGCTTGAAAAGGAACAACAAACTGAAACAACTTTGTCGTACTGAAGCATAATAAAGCTACATTTTACTAAACAAAAAAATAACTATAGAAAGAATGAAGAAAAAACAATTTTGCATAACAAGAAAAAAGAAAAAGAAAACAAAACAAAAAGCTCCCCCGGAATAGATATATATATTCAAAGAATTATATATATGCTAGAAGTTTCTCATTAGGATTTCAAGGCATAAAGGATAATACCAAGCAGAATCATAACTGAAGGGAAAACGAAGGCACAGATAATGCTGTATTTTTGATTAAGCTAAAAACCGTAAATATTCAAACTATTGTTTACAGAAATATTTAACTAAACACACATGCAAACGGATAACATATAAAAGAGGTGTCATAAGCGCATATTTAAAATGAATACATTTATTAATTTGTAACCTCCCCCCGCCCAAAATCATTGTAAATTACGATTCGTATTAAAGCCATGAGAGAAAGCAGAAGATAGAGCGAGGGGAAATTTGTAACAGTAACGCCATTTACATGGAGGAGCATCAGCATCCATTTGAATAATAACACTTGTTTTTTATGATTTGTTTTTATTTTTTGTAGCAGCAGAACATGCAACTTATTGATATTTAATCAGACATCAGGTCAAATCCAATCAATCTGGTCGAGAAAGAGAAACACAGCTATCGGAGGAGGGGAAAGAAAGTTGTTTTTTCGTTGCCATCAAAATTTCAGTCGAAACAAGCACAAATTGTTATCAGATGTAGCCTTGATTTGTCGTACATTTTACATTTAATAACTTTGTTAGTTGTTTTGCTTATTTTATAGATCTATATAATGTATATGTACGCAACACTGGACGCCCTTTCTGTAGAGTAGTGTGATCCACGGAGCCTGCCTGCGTCCAGTGCGTCCAGTGTTTTGTTTTTGTTTTTATAATTTTAGTTTAATTTAATATTATATACAAGAATAACTAAATGAGACGCACATCTACTATACAGAAAATAAAAAAACGAAAGAAACAAAACAACAAATTATTTATGTAAAAATCCAAATAAAAAATAATTCTACTCTACCAAGCATATGTGGCAAGTAAAAAAGAAAACGAAAAAAACTAAGAAAAAAAATATATAAAACGTACATATATGTAAAAATAAATATGAAGCAAAATGTTTTTCATAATTTATTACACTTGATTTTCGTTCAACCGAGATTCCCTCAATCAGCAGCAGCATTCAGTCAGTTTGGAATTTAGTTTAGTCGGGGCCAAAAAAGAGCAAGAGCAAGATCAAGAGCAGGCGAGTGCAATAGTAAGAAGAAACTGCAGGACGAGAGAAGAGTCTCCTAGCAGCAGACCCATGTGGAGAGAACAGAATCCTATAACCGCGCATAACCAAAAACCAAATGAAACCAAAACCATACCCATACGCATCTTAGTTTAAGTACGATTCAACAGTGTGTTGTATAAAGCTTTAATCCACGTAACCACATCTAGTAAAAATAAAGTAATTAAACCATTTTTATGATTAACCAACAATGGATTAGCTTTTAAAAAGCTTCAATAAGTCGAAAGTGTATTTTAAAAGATGATGAGAATCAGAGAGCCATGAGTTTCGATCGATCGGAATGGTTACGGTACCGGGGGTCTCTATATAGGTTCTTGAGGCGAATATTAATTCACAGCGCCCATTTTGGTATATCCGATAGCCATTCTCAGACACACGCACACACACAGACATGACATGAATATATAGTTTTCCGTCCAAATGAATTGCATCAGCATCAGCGAGCAGACAAAGTCTCCCATTTAATTTGATCTTTTTCCAACAAAAAACACAAAGATTCGGCGGTTTCAATGAGGCGATATTTCCGTTTCCGATTCCACACAGTAACATAGAAATATTTGTTTATTTTGGTCTTATTTCCTAGCATTAGGTGCCTTTCCACTAACCACAGCAGCAGACTAGCTTCAGTCCCCTTAAAAAGTAAATAATCAGTGTTATTGTGTGTGCATTTTGGCCTGGTGGACCAAATAAGAGGGTAATGCCAATCGTTTGAGATCCAAAACCGATTAAAAAGAGACTCAAAGGTAGCTTTTAATTCTCGAAAGCTCAAAAACTGATCGTTTGCGAGCCTTTGATGAAATCTTTGGCAAGTAAAATAAAAAGAACCTGACATAGGGTTAAATATTTGTATGTCGGTCGGTTTGCGCTTACTAAACGCTCTTTTCTGAGTCCGTTTGCAAACATTTTGCGAGACTAGTCAACGCTCGGGGAAACCTTTTGCAATAGTTTACTTTTACCATCTTCTTTTGGTCCACTGGGGAGTTGAATGCTGAATGATTGGTTCCTTTGTTTTAATGGTACACACAAATAATACTTACGACAGTTGTATGTAAATATTTGGCAAACTTTTTTGGGGGGGAAACGATGCCGATACCGATACCGCAACCGAAACCGAAGAAACCCCCCCAGAAGAAAGCGATCGAGCATTGAACTCAATAAGAAGCTATAATAGAATGAGAATTTGATATAAAAAAGAAAAATCATTAATGTATGTATTTTGTATTTTTATATACAATTTATAATTTTGATTACACTTACAATTGTTACGATTAATATAACTAAAATTAAACATGATAAAAACGGATAAATAATACGGAAAAAGAATCTACTAGTTATGTATTTCCAATATATAGAGAGAAAAGCAAGTACATAATACACATAATACAAATCCGATGATTGCTAAAGGAATTTCAAAAATATTATAAGGAATTAAGATTAAAACGTAACAAAACAAAGAAATTTTCTAAGCATAAAAACAAAACTCAACAACAACCAGAACTGCAAGCAAAAGGGACAACAATTTAAATGGGAAATTTATGTGTATTTGTGTAAAAAAAAACAAAACAAAAACAAAAATCTAAAACGGAATGAAACGGAAGTAAAGAAAATATATGTATGAACTTTAGGGCCTGAGGGGCGCCACAGTTTTCAGCATATATACCATATATATATATATATATATATTGAAGGCCATTAAGGCGTGGCATTCGATGGCTAGTTTTTACTTTAACTAATGTATGTACATGAAAGAATGACCACATTCCCCATTAAGAAAGCTTGAAAAGCAAATAACTAAAGAACAAGAAACCCAAATATGAAGAAATCTCCCTTGAAAACTACACAAGTTCTTACTAAAAAAAATTAATAATAATAATAATAATAATAGAAAGAAAGGAAGCAACTCCAACCCCTTAAGAGAGAATATTAGTTGTGAGTTCGGCATGTGGCATTTTTTGATCGGAGCGATCGATCGTTCGATATTAGGGAGAAATATTCGAGTCGTATTTCTACATTATACACCTAAGCATATATGTACGTGTAAATCGGAAGAAGCTAAAAAGAAACATCCACTGGAACTGCATGCTTAGCCTAGGCTTAAGCCGGAACAACACACACAGAACCCAAACAGAGACCCATGCAGGCGCAGGCAGTCCAACATTGTCCAAGGGCCGACGAGACGACTACGACTATTGATAAACGTGTAGCCTTTGGGGATGTTTGCGGTGTGCTGGGTGTGTCTATATATATATATAAACATATATATATATATACATTTGTCATACAAATCATATTGAATGAGACGACAGACGGACGGAGGGACGTTTGTATGATATGAAGTGGCAATTGTAACTAAACAAATTTTTTAGATAATTAAAAGTATCTATGTACACCTTAATATTAATGAGAAAAACCAATATAATATTAAATAAAAGTATATTGAAAAGAATAGAAGCGACTTCTCGTGTTTGGACGTTACAAAACTCTTTATTATAATTATTTATTTTCAAACTTATGCTTTAAACAAACTCGTTTCCACACTCCCTGCCCTATTTCAGTACAAATTAACTATCACAATGAAATCATATTTCTGTCATGCTTTGCATTGGTGGCCATAGAACCTAATAAGTGGCAAATAAGCAAACGAAACGATTACCCTTCTCACGCATTCGATTACCTAACTAGAATCGGGGATGATTTGGCACTTGGGCTTTGCTTTTTTATATGACTACAAAGTCGCTGAGGTTGCGTTCCGGCTGGACCATGGTCGGTGGCATCAGTTGCACCAGCTTGTTGAACAGGAAAGCTCTTTTGTTCTTCACCTCCGGGCTGCACTCTGTGCGCGCCCGCTTGGTGCACGACGACGAGGAGCTGGGACTGGAAGCAGTTTCGGAAATTCCCGACGAGGCCAAACTTTCGTTCGATTCCAGTGAAATATTCTCGGGAATAGCTGCCACTTCGTCTGCAAATCAAAGAAGAATTAGAGCTTGAGCTATGTAGCTAAGTCAAAGGAGCATTAAACCTTTCATCTTGGCTGAAACATCGGCATCCGTTTCGAGTTCTTCAGCATGTTCATCGCACAGGGCTGGGGTGGTACACTCCCTTTCCAGGCTGTTGTCATGGCTTTTGAAGAGCAAGGAAGCTAGTTTGTGGAACTAGAATTGAGAATAGAAGTCATTAGAACATAGCTTGTGTTGAGAGCTAGCAAAAACCTACATTATTCAATTGCTCAGCATCGCTGTGATCAATGACAGCGGCTATGTGATGACGCAAATACTGCATGGCCTTCAGGGGATCCAGGCGCGTCATCTCCTCGTAGCGCAGCTTGCGCACCAAAAAACGGCAATGCTTCAGGATCTCCTCGCGTTTGGGTCTGCAATGAATTTCAATTTAATTTACATTCATTCATTTTATAAAGTCCTGTAAACAGTTATTTACTTCTCCAAACGCAGCACCCAAAAATCATCTAGTCTTAGCTGCTGTTGCTGGAAAAATCCGGGATTCCCACCAAACAGGTAATGAGTATTAGCCAGGTCATCGTACACCAACTGATGGGCAAAGCGTGGGCAAGGCTCCAAGGCCCCGTCACCCTTGCTGGCCCCCAAAATGTTCATTCTGCTGATGGAGTTGGCATCCTGGCCACTGTGGCGACAATAATATATTCTCGACCATTTGTGGCTGCGCAGGGAGTAGACCCAAAAGGCATTGGAGGCGTCAATATGAGCTATATCCCGACGATCCTTGACCTTACTCAGGCTCTGAAAATATACTATATAGGTTAAGAATGTATTTCAGCTTTAAGTTGATTAAAAACTTTACCGAAAATATATAAATCTCGTCGCGTTCACAGTCGATGGTGGCACGCAGTGTGTAGCCCGAGGAGGGTTCAAATTTGGCCTCGTTGCCAGCGGTGGTTCCTTGATTGGGATGCTCTTTGTTGAGTATGGATATGGCCTGGGTGTCCACGTCATAGCTAAGGAACTCGTCCAGATCCTCCTTGCCCCTTTGGCCGCCATAAATGTAAAGTTTTCGGTGTTTCTGATATAAAAATGTATAAAGCAAAGGTATCTAAAGATATCCTTGATACCTACATTGTGAAACACCATGCAGTGGGTGATCCGTGACTTTATGGACATGACATCGGCCAGCGAGGCGCTGGCATGGTGACAGTCCACCAGAATCTGCGACCAGGTATTCGTTGCTATGTGATAGGAAAACAGGCCGGAATACTCGGGCTCTATCGCTCCCGTGGCGTTGACACTGCGGGGCGTCAGTATTTTGCCACCGAATACATATATGGTGCGCTTATCGGCATCTATGCACATCTGGTGATCGTAAACCAGCTGGGGGCCACCCACTTGGCTGGTGTCGTCGCAAATCTGCATCCAATTGCGAGCCCTGGTGTCGTACAGATAAAAGTCGCTCTTGATGTAGTCCGCGGTGCGGATCGAGTTGTCCAGGTAGCGACCCAGCATGAAGACGTTTTCGCTGATGGGATCGAAGACCATTTTGTGACACGACCGGGGTGTGGGTCCATTGCCCAGCTCTGATCTCTCGCACACCAGCGACCAGTCATCATCATCGATGTTGTACACCCAAAGGTCACTAAGGTCCTGATAGCCATCCCAGCCGCCGTACAGATATATCAAGCGCTTTTTGGCATCGACCACCAGTTGATGACCTCCGCGATTACCTGAAAAAGCTTGGATTTAGTCGGATATTGGTTATTGATATGCAGAAGTACCCACCAGGCTTGATCTCGCTTTCGGTGTGCTTAATATGCCAGCTATGCTTGTAGTCCTGCTTGTACAGATACTCATCCATGAGACCCTCATCAATGCACTCGGCTAAGAAGCGTTCCGCCTTCTCAAAGTCTCCCTGCAACACCTGGCAGGGAAATAAGTAACCTTTAGAGCCTTTTAAATGGCATTTCATTTGACTTACCAAACACTTGTGCAGTTCACTTATCAGTGGGTGCTCCAGTTGCACATTCGTCTGCTCCTGGAGCGCCCCGAAGGCACTCATGTAGCCCTGCTGGCGGAAATGCTTCAGGCAGAGCTTTATGATCTCCACCTCCCGCAGCGTATTGTAGCTCTTCATGCGCGCGCTGGTGTACATGGGATCGTCCTGGCCGTGCAGCTCGACGTACCAAATACTGAAGTTGAACGACGGGCCCCAGGAGAGCAGGGGCACGATCTTGAGGTACAGAATTGGCAGGTTTTCGGCGCCGTCTTCGGTAAGGTAGCGCAGATTGAATACTTCGGGTACGTTGTCGTTCTTGAGGCCACTGCGGAAGAGTGCTCTTCAATGGACTGCTCAACGTCTCCAAGGCAAGCAACGTCACTTACCCTTCAAGCAGCAAGACCATGTGCTCGTCCTCCAAGCCGCCGTATACGCGAAACTTCTTGATGTTGCAGACGTGCGACTTCTCGAACTTGCCAAACTTGATTTTCTTCACGATGGCGGGCCGGCGCAGCTTTAGGGTGAGGAACTGCGGCGGGCTGTTGGTGTAGGCGGACCAGCGGGACGTCTGATCATTGGGGCAGTCCACGAGAACGTTTCTGTGCGGAAATATACATATTTTGAATATATTCAAATGTGCGCAGTTGACAATTACGAAATCCGTGAAAATTTGGGCGCGCTTTCGCATGGTACTTACTCGGGCAGATAATTCGGCGAGTAGCTGGAGTAACGGTAGATCTCAAAGTTCAGGCGCTCAGAGAGGGAAAACGGCTTCTGGGCACTCCCGCTCTGGGTGGTGGTATTTGTCCCGGACGCAGCGTTCAGAGCTCCAAACGAGGACAGCGCCACCGAGCCGTGGGAGCTGTTATCTGTGGGGCTGGACGTGGAAGAGGATGACATGGCTGCTGGGTTTCGGCTAACTATATGTTCCTTTGGGTTGACGGGACGCAACTACTGCCGGCCAAAAATCTAATTGCTGTTGTTATTTCTCCTCCTTTTGCGGTCTTCTCGCCTGCTTCCACGCCCACAACAACACAAACGCAGCTGATGGAAGCGATAACTAGTTATCGGCCGACCATCGATAATTTGTTTCCAAACTAGCCAGCCCGCCCATCCGTTAAATTGCGTCTATTAACAAATACAGTCATTAAAAGCTAGTTAGTGTTTCTAGCTTTCTTCACTTGTGAAATCATTTCATTAGCTCGAAAAATGGGAAACTGGAAGTATCTCGCTCTCTTGGGCATTTTTTTGTGCGGTGGCTTCACCATTGTAAGCCAACTAAAACGTATTAATTGCCTAATTAGTAATAATCCTTTTCGCAGGCGTTTTCCGAGGCTTCCTTTTATAAGATCAGGAAAATAGAATGCAAAATAAATGCTGAAATCCTCGACAACGTCTCTTGTGTTGTCAAACCAATTAGTTGGACGCGCTCGGTGTTGAACCTGGAGGGCGACTTGAAGGATAACGTCACTGAAGTTAAAGTAAGTTAAATCGGTTAGATTGAATCCAAATCTCCATTCTCATAGGATTTGCAGGCGATAGTGGATATCTTTTACAAGGATTCTTCTAATATGTTTAAACCCTTTGGTGTTAAACTCAACTTTAATATTTGCCAACTCCTGGCTAAAAAGAAACAGGGAAATTTTTTGGAAGAATATGCTGTACATCATCTAAGGACCCTGACAAATGTCAACCATAGCTGCCCAATATCGGTGAGTCTCTACAAAAGCCACCACGACTGTAGATATATAAGGAAAAGCTATTTTTTCAGGGTCATATTTATGCACGGGACTTTTATTTTGATGAACTGACTTTGCCTCCGGTTCCACTGCAGGACTATAAAGTAGCCTTTAACTTTTCATACTCCAAGCCAGCTAGGAATATTGGATTGATATTTGTATTTTTCGAAGTATTTGAGGACTATTACAAAAACAAAAAACCCAAGTCACGGCCTAGGGCATTAATTCTAAACTAAATGAAATAAATACAATTTCTTTGTGTTGTAAGTGCTGTATTTTATTTATTTATTAATTAATTACTATTAGAGCGGTTGAAGATAATTTAAGTTTTGAATTTGCTTTGTGAAATGTTTTTGAAAAATTTGTCGGTTGTTCAAATTAAATCGATTTTTGTGGTATCGATTACCAGTTTCGTTCCAAGGTTTTTTGTAGTTGGGTTTTCTTTGGTCACACTGCGTTTCCGTTTTGTGTTTGTGGCTTGCATTTTGTATTTCTACATTTTAAATAGTCATTTTTCAAGAAGAAATAGTTTAAACCATGTCCTTTGATGCGATACCCAAGGACCTTAGGGGTCTGCGCGCCTGCCTCGTCTGCTCCCTAATAAAAGTAGGTTATGTTGTGCCGGTACCTAGGCAGTTTCTAATCTAGTTTTTCACATACAGAGTTTCGATCAATTTGAGACCGATGGCTGCGAAAACTGCGAGGAGTTCCTGCGGATGAAGAACAACAAGGACAACGTGTACGATCACACTAGCAACAATTTCGATGGCCTCATTGCCCTGACAACACCCACTGATTCCTGGGTGGCCAAGTGGCAGAGGATAGGTAAAATCCTCCCCACATGGAGATATATTTTCAATTGTTAATGAAACATCTGATTCCCTCAGGCCGCTTCAACCGGGGCATCTACGCCATCTCCGTATCTGGAACGCTGCCGCAATCGACGCTGCGGGACATGAAGAACCGCGGCATCGTCTACAAAACCCGCGATAGGAGCCAGCGCTGAACAAAAACTCCCGATTGCCGTACAAAATACATGTGTAAATCTTTATTTTTAAGTTATAACAAAACCACGAATACATACAATAGCAATACAAAAGGGTAGCGAAGTAAATGCAGCATCAGTCATCCAGCGAGCTAACGCGCAATCCCTCGCCGCCGGCCGTCGTAACATGCACCCCAAAGCCCGCCGACTCTAGCTCCTCCTTGAGCTTCCAGTACACCTCGTTTTGTTCGTAATTCTCGGGCAGGAGGACGATCACATAGCCACCGGCTCCTGCGCCCGTTAGCTTTGAGAAGAAGCCCCGCTTAAAGGCGATAGTGAAGATCTGCTCTAGCTTCGGGTGGGACACCCCAATTGCTTTGAGCAAGTCGTTGTTGATTTGGAACAGGCGCTCCAGCTTCTCGAACTTGGCGCTGTCGTCCTGCGCGTTGCCAAAGCTCTCGTAGAGGGGAACTGCAGCGGTGACCAGTTCCTCGCAGGCCTGCCAAATTGCCTCGATCAACTGCGGGAAGCCCTCGGCGAGGTGACGCACCTTGGCCACTATATCCGCCGTGCTGCGGCTGACGCGACTATCCACCAGCAGGATGCTCAGCGGTTTCTGGATTTTCAGCGACTGGAAGCCCTGGCCTTTGACGTAACGCAGCATTCCGCCGTAGGTGCAGACGGTGTTGTCCAGCCCGGAGGGATTGCCATGATTAACGCGCTCCGACTCGAATGCCGAGGTGGAGATTAGCGCTTGGTTCTCGTCCTGCAGATAGCTCTCTCGATCAAAGTGTCCTGCCAAAATAAGGAATGTCGTGGCCAAAGCGGCTCCAAACGAAGCGGAGCTACCCAGGCCGGCGCCCACGTTCAAGCCGCTGTCTACCTGCACCTGGAAACCGGTTTGCAGCGTCATCTGGGGATCGATGGGAGAGGAGAGTACGGCGCCGGCGAGCAGGTAATAGATGGAAACGAAGGCCCGTTGGGTGTGTTGCTTGGGGTTGCTGCCCACCGATCGCTCCAGCTGCTGGGCCACCTCCGCGCGCACCGCCTCCAGCAGCTTGGCGTTGCTGTCTGCCGGATACTTGCTGCGGAAGTCGGCCAGGAAGGCATTGAACTCAGCCAACTGGATCTCCAGTGTGCAGTTCAGTGCCTCCAGTTGGAAGCTGGCCACATGACTGCCCGCCTGCTGGCGGAACTTTAGGGTGGTGCCCAATCCGACGACGGCGGCGAGGGCCGGACGCTGGTACACCACCGCGTGCTCGCCATGCAGGATAACCTTGCCCGGAGAGTGGACCTGGAACTTGAGCATTGTTCTGGGCGTTCCCGTGTTCTCTGTTCAGTGTGCTCGCTGCGAGCTTTATCGGTCTATCAGCAATTTGAAATTGTAATGCGGAGTGGGCACAAAAGCGGTTTGCTTCGACCTCAAGTGCTTAAACTTTTATTTGTTTTTTATGTAACGTATGCATTTAGCGGACGATTTGCGTATATTATACAGTAACTTTAATGTAGCTCCAACGATTCCTGTGCTTTCCCTTTCACTTTCTTTGTTCGACTGTTTTCGTTCAGCGCTGGTTTTCGGTTTTCTGTTTTCGGTCTCTTCGTTCGATCACCACGACGCCAAAATCTCAACTACCCGCGAGCCACAACAGGTTACGAGTTGTTGTTGCATGTATTGGTGGTGTTGTTGTGTGGTGCGTACTACTGCTGTTGCTGCTGCTCTTTCACTTTCTCCCACTCGTCGGGCGTGTACGATTTTTGGGAAAAAGCATGTATTTCTTTCAGTTCTTCGGCCAGCGTAGAGTTCACTAATCGGTGCTTCTGCAGCAGCGTCTTGCCGTTGAACGCCGCAGAGACGATGACCGCGCTGAATTTGCCGCCGCAGCCGTCGGATTCGTCCACCACACTCACGTGCTGGGCCTCAAGTTGCGTTTTGAGCTTGTCCTCGAGATATTTTGAGTTATATTTACTCATTTTGTTTGTTATTTAAAAAGAAACAAGTCGGGTGCCGAGGTAGTGTGGCCGAGCTTTGTTTGGGGATTATCTGTGCCGGTAGGTGTTTTGCCACCTCTGCCACTTGGTCACACTGCAATGGATATTGATTAAAAAACTGTCCCTTGGATTGTATTTAGAAATATGCGAATAATGAATACTCTTAGTTTGCAAGAATTTCTTATTTTAATTTTAAGATAAACCGGTGCGTAGATGTCAAATAAACTCAATATCTGTCATATGTTTGAAAGTCAGTGCTGAATCGATAACTATCGATAGCTTATTTTGCCGCCGATTGTGCCCTGCCGCAGCCAACTTCGCGCATTCATCGCACACACATGCGATAGCACGCGCAGTTTTCCCACCATTCACAAAAAAACTCGCTTGCAATTTACTATTTGTTTAAACAAAACTGGCTTTGTTTGCTGTTAATTGCACGATTTCATGGTGATTGAAGGGTGATTGACAATTCTGTGGAACGATTTTCAGCGCAAATTGACGGCGACAAGAGGCAGGACGCGAATTTTGCTGGCAAGGAATTGACGGAAAAAGTAAGTTCCACTTGACAGACAGACGCCGGCATTGCGAAAATGTCCAAAGCAGATGCCACCGCCGTGGAGGCCACCGAGGAGAACTCGGTAAGTTAAAGGAGACATCGTTTCCATTCGGGGTACTAAAGATTTCCCCTGCAACGTTTGCAGAATGAGACAACCTCGGATGCGGCCACCAGTTCATCCGGCGAGAAGGAGGCCGAGTTCGACAACAAAATCGAGGCGGATCGCAGTCGACGCTTTGATTTCCTGCTGAAGCAGACGGAGATTTTCACGCATTTCATGACCAACAGTGCCAAGAGCCCCACCAAGCCCAAGGGCAGGCCCAAAAAGTCCAAGGAGGAGAAGAAGGACAAGGATGTGGCCGAGTAAGCTATGGCCCCTTGCGATGACCCTTCCCCTTACTTACTTGTCTTTATTTGCTTCGCAGCCATCGTCACCGCAAAACGGAGCAGGAAGAGGATGAGGAGCTGCTGGCGGAGGACGCTGCTGCCACCAAAGAGCTTTTCCGCTTCGATGCCTCGCCCGCCTACATCAAGGGCGGTGAAATGCGTGACTATCAGATTCGCGGTCTCAACTGGATGATTTCGCTGTACGAGAATGGCATCAACGGCATTCTGGCCGACGAAATGGGTCTGGGAAAGACCCTGCAGACCATCTCCCTGCTGGGTTATCTCAAGCACTTCAAGTGAGTTTTACAGAAAATTGTAGGAAAAAGAAGTTTGAATATTGAAATTTCGTCTCCCACAGAAATCAAGCTGGCCCGCACATCGTCATCGTGCCCAAGTCCACGCTGCAGAACTGGGTGAATGAGTTTAAGAAGTGGTGCCCTTCCCTAAGGGCCGTCTGTCTGATCGGTGATCAGGACACTCGCAACACCTTTATACGAGACGTTCTCATGCCCGGCGAGTGGGATGTCTGTGTCACCTCCTATGAGATGTGCATCCGCGAGAAGTCGGTGTTCAAGAAGTTCAACTGGCGCTACTTGGTTATCGATGAGGCCCATCGCATCAAGAATGAAAAATCGAAGCTCTCGGAGATCCTTCGCGAGTTCAAGACGGCCAACCGTCTGCTCATCACGGGTACTCCGCTGCAGAACAATCTTCACGAGCTGTGGGCGTTGCTAAATTTCCTTTTGCCCGATGTATTTAACTCTTCGGAGGACTTTGACGAATGGTTCAACACGAACACTTGCTTGGGCGACGATGCCCTGATAACACGTCTGCATGCCGTGCTGAAGCCCTTCCTACTGCGTCGCCTCAAAGCGGAGGTCGAGAAGCGTCTGAAGCCGAAGAAGGAGATGAAGATATTCGTAGGCCTGTCCAAGATGCAGCGCGACTGGTACACCAAGGTGTTGCTTAAGGACATCGACATCGTGAATGGCGCTGGCAAGGTGGAGAAGATGAGGCTGCAGAACATCCTGATGCAGCTGCGAAAGTGTACCAATCACCCGTATCTGTTCGATGGCGCAGAGCCGGGACCGCCGTACACCACGGACACCCATTTAGTGTACAACTCCGGGAAGATGGCTATTCTAGACAAGCTTCTGCCCAAGCTGCAAGAGCAGGGATCACGAGTGCTGATCTTCTCGCAGATGACGCGTATGCTGGACATTCTGGAGGACTACTGTCATTGGCGTAACTACAACTACTGCCGTCTTGACGGTCAGACGCCGCACGAGGATCGTAACAGGCAGATCCAGGAGTACAACATGGAAAACAGCACCAAGTTTGTATTCATGTTGTCTACTCGCGCTGGCGGCTTGGGTATTAACTTGGCCACCGCTGACGTGGTCATAATCTACGACTCCGACTGGAATCCCCAGATGGATCTGCAGGCCATGGATCGTGCCCATCGTATTGGTCAGAAGAAGCAGGTGCGCGTTTTCCGTCTGATCACCGAGAGCACCGTGGAGGAGAAGATCGTGGAGAGGGCCGAGGTGAAGCTGCGGCTGGACAAGATGGTCATTCAGGGCGGCCGTTTGGTGGACAACCGCTCCAATCAGCTGAACAAGGACGAGATGCTCAACATCATTCGCTTTGGAGCCAACCAAGTGTTCAGCTCCAAGGAGACCGACATCACCGACGAGGACATCGATGTTATTCTGGAGCGCGGTGAGGCTAAGACAGCCGAGCAGAAGGCGCAGCTGGACAGTCTCGGCGAGAGCTCTTTGCGCACCTTCACCATGGACACTAACGGTGAGGCCGGCACATCCTCCGTCTACCAATTCGAAGGCGAGGATTGGCGCGAGAAACAGAAACTCAATGCTTTGGGTAACTGGATTGAGCCGCCGAAGCGAGAGCGTAAAGCCAACTATGCCGTGGATGCCTACTTCCGGGAGGCTCTGCGTGTATCTGAACCCAAGGCGCCGAAGGCTCCGCGTCCGCCTAAGCAACCCATCGTGCAGGACTTCCAGTTCTTCCCGCCACGTCTCTTCGAGCTGCTCGACCAGGAGATCTACTACTTCCGCAAGACCGTCGGCTACAAGGTGCCCAAGAACACGGAACTGGGCTCCGAGGCAACGAAGGTGCAGCGGGAGGAGCAGCGCAAGATCGACGAGGCGGAGCCGCTCAGTGAGGAGGAGATCCAGGAGAAGGAGAACCTGCTCTCGCACGGCTTCACCGCCTGGACCAAGCGCGATTTCAATCAGTTTATCAAGGCCAACGAGAAGTATGGCCGCGATGACATCGACAACATTGCCAAGGATGTGGAGGGCAAGACACCGGAGGAGGTTATCGAATACAACGCCGTGTTCTGGGAGCGTTGCACGGAGCTCCAGGATATTGAGCGAATAATGGGACAAATTGAGCGTGGAGAGGGCAAGATACAGCGACGTCTGTCCATTAAGAAGGCATTGGATCAGAAGGTTACTTATTGTTACAGCAAATTTTTCCAACTCTTTATTTATTTATGGCCTACTTTCAGATGTCGCGATACCGAGCTCCTTTCCATCAGCTGCGTCTGCAATATGGCAATAATAAGGGCAAGAATTACACAGAAATCGAAGACCGTTTTCTGGTCTGCATGCTGCACAAGCTGGGCTTCGACAAGGAGAACGTATACGAGGAGCTAAGAGCGGCCATTAGGTGGGATAAGACTAGCTTTTGCCACAAAAAGTACGTGAATAATTCTTTAATTTCCTTGCAGAGCCTCGCCTCAATTCCGTTTCGACTGGTTCATCAAATCTCGCACAGCTTTGGAGCTGCAGCGTCGTTGCAATACCCTGATCACCCTAATTGAACGCGAGAACATCGAGTTGGAGGAGAAGGAGCGCGCCGAGAAAAAGAAAAAGACGCCCAAGGGCAGTGTTTCGGCGGGCAGTGGAAGTGCCGGTTCGAGTACTCCAGCACCCACGCCGCAGCCTAAGGCCAACCAAAAACGGAAGAGCGAGGTGGTGGCCACCAGTTCCAACTCAAAGAAGAAGAAGAAGTAAAGAGGCACTGGGCAAGTTATGCACTTGAGATTCGGCTCCACTCATAATTAGGCAGTTAAATAGTTAAGACAAGCCTTTACTTAAACATATTTCGCCCGACATAGATACGTATGATGTAGCTTTTAACTCACACCGGAAGCAATTTTTCCTTTTAGTGCCCCAAAAAGCACACCATCCAACTCACAAAGAATACCAGAACCATAAAACCACATCCAGTTTTAATTGTATTGCGTGCCGCTGTATTCTATTCCAGTTAATTGTACTTTTGTTTATAAGTCCTTAACTATTATATTTATGTATTGCAAAACAAGGAGGTGAAGTTTTTATTGCGACAATTGGAGGGGGATTTACCAAATGCTTGTATGATTTTTGGTCGTGGAAAAGTAACAACATTTATCTCTCTTTCATTGTCTCTCCTTTGATCCCTGAAACAATTTATTAAAATCTGATCAAATATAAGTCCCCTTTCTGATAAAATGAGCATAAAAGCGCTCGCTTTTGGATAATTAATGATGCTACCTTCGATAACCTAACCCAACAAGGTATTCCCTGGAAAGAAAACACACCAGTTTATCTTTTCGCACGTTTGTCTTTATAGTTTTGGAATTGCTGGACGACTTAACATAATAACATTTATAAATTCTATAAATTGCAGCTTAGTTTGTGTAACAACAAAGGCACTTAACATTAATATCATCTTGTTCATGCAGTCAACGGCTCCGGGCACCCGAAGCCGCCTGGCCATGTTCAACATGGCCATGGGTTGATTGGGTCTGATGGGGATGTGGGCTTTGCCTGCTTTTTGAACTCTCAAACTCATACTCTTCATACGCTTCCATAGTGGAATGCTACCTGCATCTGGAGTAATACTACGCGTCTATTTGGAAGGACGGATCATGAAAGGACCCCTTAGTCGTCGTCGCTGTACATATCGATGATCTCATTGATGCTGGCCACGGCTCCGGCAATCAGAGCCAGGATGGAGAACACGCCCAGGAAAATGTTCTTGATAAGCTTCCACTTGCACCAGCCGAGGCGATCGGGCCACAGGTACACAGTCTCCACAAAGCTGGGCACAAAGATGCCCAGCAGCGAGAAGAACACGGCACCCACCAGACTGATGAACGGTTCCAGGTTGGGAATGGCTGCGGCCACTCCGCCGCTGATCAGGATGATGCCAGTGCGCAGCAGGATTTGTGTAATGTTGTGCTTCTCGGGGCTGAACTTGTGGCTGATCTTGCGCCAAAGGATCTCGTTGGGCACATAGAACTGCAGGCCAAAGGTGAACAAGATGGCCACGGCCATCAGCAGCTTGGCTGTGTCTCCCAGCCAGGCGCCTTCCGGCAGATTCAGTGTAATGCTGCCCCTCACTGTGTCGCCAAATCGCACATAGCCGAAGAATCCGATGATGGCATAGAGCAGGACCACTGTGATCATAGCTGTATTGAGGACACCCGGGCATCCGAGGAAGTGCTGGGGCTTCTTCATTGAGTTCTCCACGGGCATGACAACGCCGATTCCCTCCATGGCAAAGATCACCGTGGCGAAGAAAAGCGGAATGTTTGAGGCCTTGGCAATCAGTGGCTTATTGGAGTACACCAGCTCCTCATCGAACATGTAGTACAGGACAATGGCAAAGGTCACCACGATGAAGACGTTGGCCATCATCGAGAAGGGCACCAGCCACTTGAGGTTCCTCAGCTGACCGATCAGCAAGCAGGGAATCACGGTTAGGGCAATGTAGATGCGCACATCCCAGTTAATTCCGAGGTCGTAGTTGATCACGTCATGGAAGGATGTGGCAATGAACACAATGTACACACATGCCGCTGCATAGTACGTGGCCATCAGACCGATGTCCACGAATTGCCTGAAGAGGGGAGGAGGTGAAGAAAGGGTTAGGAATCATTGTCCTTAAGATCATCGAAGAATTTCCTCTCTACTCACTTGGCAAAGTTGGAATAGGGCCGCATGCCCTTTGGTCCGTACTCAAAGACCTTTTCCGCCGTTTCCGCGAAACCCAGAGCTGTGACCTTGGCATCCCGGCAAATGTCATGGGAAGTCTTCACCTGTAGGACAAGAAGTGTAAGGAAAGCATTAGAGGATGTAGTTAGATTACATCAATTTTCCGGGAAGTTCCCTCGATTTATCAAGTAGTATTATTGATTTCCTAGAAAGTTCCTTCGAATTCTTAAATAATATTTCCGATATCCTAGAAAGTTCCTTTGAATTCTCAAGTAGTATTGCCGATTTCCAAGAAAGTTTCTTCGAATTCTCAAGTACTATTTCCGTTTTCTTTAAATTCATTTAATTTCTAACAATGAAAAGGAAAACACAATATACATAATCTAAGTTACTTTTAATTATTACCCTTCAAAAGCTGTTAACAGAAACATCGCTTTTGAGTAATAAATTATAAGTTTATCTCTTGATTGCCAGGGTTGGGCGGCCTTCCCAACTATGTACATATGTATTTTTGTGGCTAGTATATTTCATACTACTCTCTTAATCTCTCCTGGGTAAATCTAATTGATTTCAGAGTGCTGAGCACTTGAGAAGGCGCTCGGGAAAAGTCCAAAATGACTGTCCAAATCTTAACGCTATAAATCTGCGGATTCGAGTGGTTTATGATGTTTGACCGCATTTATATATATGACCGATTGAAGATCTCTGACTTGGCCATTTCTAAGAAATATTTAGTGTATTTATAAAGCGTTTTGGCACGCGGTTCCTGGCCTGATGTCTGGACATTCGAGTGCGTCGTCTAACTTCCACGAAACCTACGACTTGGCTTGGATTTGGAGGATCGGAAATATGTGATCATAAATAAAGGCCATAAAACTCTGGGTGATAGCCCCTAACAATCATGAATTGTATCTCCCCGCGATAAGGACTGGCGACTAACTATAATTTCCAGACGCGTGCAATGATTGCCCTGCCCGTTGCATTGCTTATCTGGAACCATGGTCTTCTATTGGCAGCCATCGTTCCAGCACCTTGAACTACTTAACAGTCCGGCCGGGGGAAACTACGTCAGCCGCGGCTTATGCGGCTCACCTGGTCTATTGGCCTGTCTGCTGGCCAAGCGTCGTAATTGCTTGAGTCAACAGCCAGAACAAGGTGCTAAAATCTTTTTTTTTTTGCGGTTTCACTTACCAAAATATGGACACAGTGGGTGCAGAGGAATCCGACGATCAGTGTCATGCACATGCCAAACACCAAGCCGGCATTGTGAAAGGCCATGGGCATGGCCAGGATTCCAGTGCCCAGAGAGCTCTTGAGTAAATGCGCCAAGGCGCCACCAGAACTGGCTCCATTGGGATCACGGTGCTCGAAGGGATTGTAGGGATCCTCGCCGAGAGAGAACTGGTTCTTCTCCGTCAAATTGGATCTGGCAAAGGGAAAGACAATCAGTTATAGAAAATAGATACCTTGTTCCCGTTTGCAAATAGAAAGAGAAATAACATAAGGATCCTAAGCATACTCACTTCGAGTTAAAGTCATTCAGTGTGGCCACCGAGTTGTTGTACGAGGGCGGGTTCTCGCCTGGCGGTGCCGCTGGGTAGGATCCCGCCTCTCCGTCCGGCTTGAAACCAGCGTTATCTGTCATCTGAAAGCAAAAGTAGAGCAGGATCGATTGGTATTAGATGGCATTAATACATTTGATCGATCGGCCGCACACGAACGGGCTTTTATCAGGAGAGGAAGCACGAGATTCGCTTTCGTTGGGTCATTTAAGGCTTGGGTTAATCCGCTCGAGAGTTGCTAGGCACAAGCCATAGGCCATATCTTATCGATCGATATTGGGGATCGTTGAAGTATTTGGAACTGCCTTACCCGAGAGAGATTTGGCGGACTGGCCGTTCGATCCTTATCGGAAACTGCCCAGAACGTACCTGGGGGTGGTGCTTATTTGCTTTATTTGCGCATAAACAACAATCGGACTGCATTCATAAAATGGTTCTTTATGGGGCCCCTAAACGTGCTTGTAATTCCTTTGGCTATAACCATATAATCGGGCCCTAAATCAGCGTCCATATAGTAGTCACGCCTTAGTGCCCAGTATCGAGTTGATTCATTGATGTCGTGTATGAGTTTCGTTTTTTTTATTTTTTTGGCAGCTAGTCGTCCACTTAATCCTGAACTTTAGCCTTGTTCTAGGGGCTTAGATTAGCGTATTGGCCAGTCATAAAGTTATATTTATTAGCCGCAAGTCTTCTATTAACATTTATGAATTAATTATGGTGGCCGGGAAATGTTTTTAGCTTGGCTATATAACAATCATAAAACAGCAGGTCACATGATATATTTAACTAATCGAAATTCTAAGATTAAGTAAGATTAATTGTGTAATAGTTTACTGAAGATCTTTTTGGTAAGAGTAAAAAAGACTGTATAAACGAACTGTTGCAATTGTCTTCGGAAGAAGGATCTGTGGTGTATGTGAAAATATAGTCGAGTCTTCGTAAATAAAGTCGGTTTGAGTATAGACTTTGATATACCAAAAACAATAGTATAACTTTAATGGAAAAAGGTTTGAATATATATAGTTTTCTAAGGATCATAGCCATTTTCTGCCATCACTAAATATATATTTTAACAAATCGTAAAAAAAAGTTAATTTTTTTTAATTGATTCTACAATTATTTTAAAAATATTTCTCTAGATCTCCCCATTCACAAATATTTTAATGACATTTTATCTTGCTAATCTTTTATTTTTTATCTTTAATAAATTCGGCATGAGTATAGATTTTGAAATAGTACAAAACACTCATATAACTTTAAAGGTCCCAAAAATAAAAGCAAACAAAAAGAAAGTTTCAATATATATTTGTTTTGGGTCATATGTAACTATTGTCTGTCATCCATAAATATATAATATTCTCTATATATTTTAATAAACCTTAAAAAAGTACATTTCTTTTAAGTATTCTACATGTATTTCCCAAAATATATCCCCAGATTTCCCCATTCACAAATAGTTAAATGACATTTTTATCTTCCCATCCAAATCCCATCATTCCCCTAAACATCGATCGATCATAAAGGCTTAAGGCAATGGAAAATTTTGAAAATTGCCTCAGTATATATTCGTTTTTTTTCTGAACTTTCTATTCAACCTTAAATTGGTTAAAATAATACCCAGAGTACCGGAGACATTTAAATATAACTGTAACTGATTCACGTTACACCAGATGTACGGAAATATTAACAAACTAATTATAATAAATATATATTTAAACAACAGCTCAATGCAGTGTTAATTTAATCAGCTCGAAATTCGTTGTTATATTTATATTTAACGAACGCGGTAGATAAGACGTTTACAGCACATTTCCGTAGGGAAAAACTTACTTCTTCAACTAGGTTAACACGGTGGGAAAATTACTCGAGTTAAAAAGGAGCCGGACCGAACGCGCCCTCTGGCCAAAAGCAACTAACTGATCAATAGGAAATAAAGTACCTACGCTTCGGGTTTTTGGGAGCCGCGGCGCCGAAAAGTGATAACGTCTTAAAGCAAGACAGGCAACAATAATCAATAAACAACAAATACACGAAGCATGCCACATTCACAGCTAATAATAATAAATACTCAAAGCTACCTTTAAAATACATTATAAATTGTTCCCCGATAACCGCCTTATCGCCACCTAGCCGAACCGAACCGAACCCGAGGAGCAACCGAACCCATCCGATCCTCAAAGACAAGACCACACAATCCACTTAACTGGTTTACTAACCCAAAAGGTTTTCCTGAAGCTACAAAGTACCCATCAATGAGATAGGACCATATATCATGATTTGCCAATTACTTTCATTGAGAACTTTAAACGCTTGAGAGAAAATTACGATGCGAGGAATTCTATATACTAAATAACAAGAATAAAGACCACTAATCGAAGCGTGTTATAATTCGTAATATTATCATGTAGCTTGATAAGATTAGTGGTCAGCCCCAGCACACACTTTACTTACTTCTTATATAAAGACATTAAATCGTAACTGGACGACATTGAATTCCCAGTATATATCCTACGATCGTACATTATTTTGTGTTTACCCAAAATGATTGCCTTTTATGAGCTTGGGCTCACAAAACGATAAATCGAATCGCCAAGTCTTTATGATCGACTTCTAATTGGGTTTCTAGTTACTGGGGGGTTCTATACGACATCACGCGCCCCAAGCGATACTGAATCATATCGGAATCGGTCATGTTTGGCCATTGATTAGTCCGAAAGTTGGGACTTATTAGTTTTATGGCCAATTACATTAATTAACTTTGCCATTTGATCTATAATTAAATTAGGGTTCGCGTTAAGTGCGTCACGAGAGGGTACGGACTTTATGATCATGCTAAACGGCTATTGACTTATTGACAGTTTATAAATTAAGCCGTCGTGGCCTGGCACAGCAACTGGCTTTTGGGGGAATACTCCTAATGAGCGAAACGGAATACGAAAGATTCCGATGCTAATATTTGCCTAGCGAATTATATACCACTTTATAAAATCTTAATTGTTAACGTCAAACGGGTAATGCCAAGGGGTGTGGTTTTTGCGTAAGAAATTGACCTGGATTCAATGGAGTTTTTTTCGACAGATACTGCCATGGGTTGCAGATTCTGAACCTTAAAAAGATATGGCTTTACAGCGTGCAATATTTATCTGCAGTACTGCCTTATCGGAGCCATATACCCTGATATTGAGTGCTGTTTCTGTAACACCTTGACATGCTTCCATAAGCCTCGATCCCCGACAACGACCTTCCCGGCTATTGCATAAAAATAAAACTTTCGAAACTGATATTTTTGCGATTTCAGGAATTTCTCCACAATTTGCGAGGCTTCCCTTGCCAATTCTCGAGCACCTGGGGGGCTTTAAGTACCTCTTAATTGGCGGCTTGACGGTTTTTTGAATGGAATCTCGAGTAGGATCTCTTTTGGGTCAATGCATTCCATTAAAGCCGAAACAGCTTTTGGCTGACTTTTTGTCATTACCAGTTTTTCTGTTTTGTTTTGCTTTCTTTGTTTTATTTTGTGTTGCTTTTGTTTTGCTTGTGTGTTCGCTTCACGTGCCGCGAGAAGAGGCAAAAAGAAAACCCGTTGACCGCCCCGACTTGTCAATATGGCAATCCATCAAAGTCCACAGGGAGAAAAGTTTATAATGAAAGGAAAGCTTAAATATACATATTTAAATAAATTGTATATTTACCTAACACAATTAAAACTTGTTTAGATATTTTCCTAATAAACCTTGAAGGTAAAAAAAGTTAAAAGGTAAAACAAAAAGTACTTTTTATTCACAAGCTAAAATAATTCTAGAACCGATCCTTCTGGTAATCACTTTGAATAATGCAAATGTTCCGGTAATGGATGCTTATAAATAATAGTGGCAATCGTCTGAAATACTGAAATTCCAGTGAGGTATGCTTTTGTTGGCCTTTTTGAATCATGGGAATAATGGGAAAGTTCCGGTAATGGATACTTATGACGAAAGTAACACTCTTCTGAAATACTAAGGATATTCCAGTGATGGGTGCTTTTGGAATGCTTAAAGAGCTTTAGTGATGGATACTTATTAAAACAGTAGCCTGACTAACCGTAAATCATGTGAATAATGAAAAAGTTCCGGTGATTATGAACAATAGTGACAATTTCAGAAATACTGAGGAAATTCCAGTGAGGGATGCTTTGAATGGCATTCTTTTGGATTGCTTTAAGGGCTCTAGTGGGGGATATTAATAAAAAACAATAGCTATAATCCTGAATATATTATATATGTACATATATATATACAGGTAAAATAAGCTCTTTCTAATTTGTATCTTAATATTCATTATTTTATTAATTGAAAATTATTGACCATTAAAACATAATATAAAAAAAAATTCCCAAAAATTTCAAAATGAATATTTTCCCTCAGTGCAAGAGGGAAACTGAGGGTTGGGAAGGGAGCTCGTTCAGTGTCAGGCGATCGCCGTGTCTGAGGTGGATCGGTGTGTGAGGCAGCCTTTTCGCTTTTCGCGACCTTATCGCGGGACACACACACTTTCGATATGCAAAACGGATGAGCCTGCCGTGCGGCATAATTGATCAGACAGCTCTTGACAGCTTCGGTGTGGAAGTATTGAACTTGCAGTTATCGCATTTATTTTCGGGTAATAACCATATCAGCAATGATGTGATAATGCCCCCTACCTTGCCAACTTTGAATGACAGCCGACAACATGCGGGGCATTCATTTTATTCCTCAAAAATCCGAACTAAACGCCAGGTTTATTGCACCTGCGAGTTGTAGTTGTTAAGCGGCAGCAAGGTAGCTGTCAAGATAAAACTGAGTCAATAATCTTTTATGGCATCCAATTCGGGGCTTATCGCGGCAACAAAATTGTGGGAGCAATGATTTCTTCCCCCAAACGGCTTCTTCCGCGGATGATGACTGGCTCCAAAGATTTCCCAGCTGATAAGGCATTAAAAAAAAAATTCAAATAAAATCTATAGGCTAATTTTCAGAGTGTCACATGCATCTGATAATTGCCTGATAACTCACTTGATGTGTGGGAATTAATTATAAATAATTAGGGCACTTATAAAATAGGCAATGATAAACGCAAAACATAAAAAGGCACTATAAACAAACAGATAATTGCTCAAACGCAGCTCAGGTCTCAATAATTACCTCTTGACCGATTTGATGTGTGTGTGTGGAAATTATATAGAAATTATTGTAATTGCTTGATTTAATTTAGTCGCAATCGCTTGTCCTCGACATTGACTGATTTTTCACACAATCGCGTTAATGGTCCAGCGATATGCTCGATGGTGCGATTATAAAGGCCAGAATTTGCAGAAGCAATCAGTGGGGACAAATACGCTTTGAACACTATTTAAGCCTCTTTGGCCATTTTCTGTTTTATTATTTATTTAATTTTTGAATTTGTTCACACCTGCGGTAAAGCGATGTCGCAATGTTGCAAGGATTTTTGGATTTTCGCCCGCGGCTTTTAGGGTTTGTAAATTTGGTTTCGTTGCCGCTGGCGATTTGTTGTTAACTGTCGGACGATCGCTTAGTGACTGATATTAAGCCAATGTTTGTGCTTGAATTTGTTGCTGCGACGGCGTCGCCGGAGCGGCTATAAACCCGGCCATGCACACAGATATAATGTATTCGCACTCCCCGCTCTCCGAACCTGGAGGCGGACTCGGAGACGAAGTCGGTTCGGGCAATTAGCGCAATGGACAATAAACGTTACCGTGACGCAGGTGGGGCGAAGTCGGCCTCTCTCTCTCTCTCTCTCCCTCTCTCGCTGGCCAGGTGAACATAAACATATAGACGCCATCAGTAGGTAGTAGGTGCTTTCTACAGATCACACTCAGCTTTGGTCATTCGGCGGCCAGACAAGTCTGCCTTCGTCCCATTACTCATACGCAGTGTGGGCCTGGGAGTGGGAGAAGGATGAGGATAACCGGGTGCCCGGTTGCTGTGCTGATAGGGGATTCTGTTATCTGTTAACTGGGGAATGATTGTATAACCTTGTCAAATCGGAGTTAGTACTATATCTGTAGCTAATTGCATTTTAACGGGGGAAATGTCACTATTTACTTCTTTAGCTCTTGGTATACTTTTAGGGGCTCTTATCATGGTTCTTCCCTTTGAATTGTATTATTCGGTGAAAATCACACAACACCCTGTATGCTGCACACAGGCTTCATGTCACACCAATCATGGAACTATTAATGTCTATCAATCAACCATCAATCATCTATTACAGTTCGCAGAAGTTGCCAGTTTGCACGGAAAACATTTTTTATAAAAAAAGCTTCTATTTTAGGAGGTAACAATTAAAATATATCATAACTAAGCCAAAAATGCATTAATTTCGATTCGGAAAGCAGTTTTGTGTTAGTTTTTATTAATTAAAAAAAACTGTATACCAAATTTAAAATTTTAAGAAATCAAAATTTATTTGCCATTTTTGCTAATTTTAATGATGTAACCCCTTATCAAATTTCGCAAAAATGGCCAAAAAATCGATTTCTTCCGGACATGTCTAGAAAGATTCCTCTGTTGATGCTGATCAAGAATATATATGGTTTATGGGGTCGGAAATGACTCCTTGACTTAGAAAAATATTATTTTGTATTATAAAATCGGATTTTTTATATTAAAAAACTTCTTGATTTTTTAAAATTAAAAATGTCATAACTCGGCCAAAAGAGCATTAATTTTAAATCGGAAAACTGTTCTGTGCAAGATTTTCTACACTTAATAAATCTGCATACTTCATTTAAAAATTTTGAAAATTCAATTTTTTATCAAAATCAAAAATTTTAATGATGTAACCCCTTATAAAATTTTGCAAAAATGGCAAAAAAATCGATTTCTTCCTGGCATATCTAGAAAGATTCCCCTGTTGATGCTGATCAAGAATATATATACTTTATAGGGTCGGAAAGGTCTCCTTCACTGCGTTGCAAACTTCTGACTGAAATTATAATACCCTGCAAGGGTATAAAAATGTAAAGTTGTAACATCATTTTCCTTGAGTGCAGCTTATATTTAAGATATAATCTTTAGAAAAATAAGAATAAAGATTATCTTATATACGAATCAAATTTTTCTTTCCGTGTAACTGCAATATCTACAGATACCGAAACTGGAGCGAACTGGAGCTGGAGCATTTGCAGCTCGAGAATTCGCGCGACACTTGGACCCCCTCCTTGGACCACCCGCACCCCCCTCCAGCGACAATTACTAAGTGCTGCCTTGGGGGCTTCTCTTTTAGAGGCAGATCACTTGGGGCCTCTCTAGTGATTGACTTGTTTCGAGCCAACTCTTTGTTGTTGCTGGCTGTTGGCTGGTTTTTGTTGTCTAACCATAAAATATGAAATGTTAGTTCGCTTTTTGTGTTTGCCTTAGAGCTCGGCTAGACGCCTGGTCGTACATAGTCATAGTTGGTGGTTAGTCAGTGGGGCAGTGGAAAATTTTTAGCGGCACGGCAATTGCTGTAAATGAAATGCACTTTTCCACGTGATGTGCATTTAAGATTAGTCGAGTTCAATCCGCCGAGTTTGAGTTTGTCATTGATTTATGGGGCCATTAAATGCATTTGCAATTTAAGGGACAGGAGGAGTGTGTGTGGCGTAATTATATCAGTTCGAACAGCAAGTAGGTGGGATAACAATGATATCAGAGCAGTTGATTGGATTGAGTATCTTTAATTGCCAAGTACACGAAGTACATGCTGTACGCACACACGTTATGTTCCTCTTCTGTTTAACAAGGTTCTGCTCCTATTGACGCAAGACACTGCACACACACGTTGCGTATACGCCCTGTGGAGACAGCCTTGGCTAGGACTGATAAGGTATAGGTTTCTCTTGGTAATAGGGCAGAAAGAGAGAGACCCTTTCAAGCGGGTCAAGAGCTCAGTCTATAGCCGCTGCAATATTGACACAGTGATTCCTTATCGGCATAGAATTTGGAAAATATCTACTACTTTGTGTTTACTGCTGCCGTCCGTATTGACAATCTGTTGAGCCTGATAAAGTTATACCATCGCCTTAACTAAAGAATTATCGATTGCAAAAGCCATCTAGATGGGCGGCTCTTAAGTGCTCTAGATATTATCAGGTGTTTTTGGGGGTCTTTCCCGTTTAGAGGAAAGTTCCAATTATATATTCGTACATTGCCTAACCTTGAGAATCCCTCTCATCCATCTAATTGAGTTTCAAGCAGTGCCTCCAATACCTGGAAAAAGTTAATACGAAAAATCCCCCGTCCCGTAAAGAGACACATTAAGGCCTCTACTCTGTCAGTGACTCTTCCCAGGCCGTCTGTCTCATTACAATGCATGTCATATCGGGGGATACAACATTTGCCCGTATTACTGGCCAACACTCTGCTGATGGAAACCTGAAAGGCCGGCCTGCTGATCGAGAAGCGTTAATAATAACGAGTCAAAACAATAAATAATTGATTTGCTTCCGCAAATTGGTTTCCGGATCTGCCTTCTCGCAGTGTGTGTTTGAGTTGGCTTTGGGGTCACATCGGTTCATTGAGCACTGAGCGAGCAATTAATTAATTGATTAATTAATATTCACACTGCGCCACATGCGCATCGGCTCTAAAGATTGTCGCTTGAGATTCGGTTTCTCAGTCGGATGTTGCTTCTGCCAAACGACACTGACCTTGTCCGATGTCAAACACCCGGTTTACATTTTAATTTACTGCTCCCCGACTGGGCATGAATGGAGGTGTTGGTGGTGACGCAACTTAGACATCAAAAATCTGGGCTAGTGGGGGTGGTCGTCCGCCCAGAGGAGACAACAACTTCCTTGACATTAAACCGGTTGTGTCTTCCACGGCGGCGGCTTCATAAAGTGACTTTATTTAGCGCCTGTTTTTGTTTTTCTCTTGTGACAAAACCCCTTTGTTCGAGCGGGCCCCAAAAATACCTGGCAGCACGCCCTGTAATACACATATTTGCAAAAAATGCAAATTACCTGCTGTGCAAATGACAAGCGAAGGCACAGTCATCCCACTTACACTTAGCTCGCATGACAATAGGAACTTTCTAACTGGCGGCGGGCTATTTTCCAAAGAAATCCCTGATTTCCGCATCGTTCGATCAAGGTTGCCTTTGCATCTATTTCCAGTTCTATGCTGTGCGCCGATTAGTAGTAGGTACATGCAATGCAAATGGGGAGTGTTTCTCGATCGGCGGTGGTACTTAATGGCTGTAATTAGCATTTCCCTGACTAAATGGAGATGCGTCATGGCGGCGATTAAAAAATTCCTCAGCTACAATTAGCGTAATTCAAGTTATTTGGCAGTTCGATACAATCGAGTGCTTTATATATTGTGAAAACAATAGAACAGAGCTTGCCTTGGGCTTTTTGGATTCTACAAAGAGTAGCGGATAAAATAATAAATGCACTTTTCAGCTTAAAGTTAGAAGTGGTCTCCGAATCGGTCCCTTTACTCGCCCTGGTAGACGGGCTTGCGCTTCTCCGCAAAGGCGGCCAGTCCCTCCAGTCGGTCCTTGGTGGGTATCACCTGGGAGTAGCAGATTTCCTCGATGGAGTAACCCGTGGCCAGGTCCACCTGCATGCCCTTGTCAATGGCCAGCTTAGCCATACGCACGCCCACCGGTCCGTTGGGCAGAATCTCCTCGGCCAGCTTGAGGGCCTGCTGGTAGGCCGCGTCCTTGGTCTCGTTCTGCTGCACTACATGATTGACGAGGCCCAGATCCTTGGCCTCGGTTCCATCGAAAACGCGGGCCGTGAAGATCAGTTCCTTGGCCAGGGCGGGCGACAGGATGCGAGGCAGCCTCTGAGTGCCACCGGCGCCGGGGATGATGGCCAGTCGAGTCTCCACGAGACCCATTTTGGTGTTGGAAGCGGCGGTACGGATGTCACAGGCCAGTGCCATTTCCAGCCCACCACCCAGAGCGGCACCGTCCAAGGCGGCAATAACGGGCATCGGCAGTTGCTCAATGCTGATCAGCAGGCTGCGGAGCTCCTTGACGAACTCGGTGGCCTCTTCGGGAGTCATGCCTGGAATTAACAATGAATAAGTTATTTTAATTATGTTAAAACCTTTCAAAATAAAGCCTCACCCTTGCGCTCCTTTAAGTCAGCGCCGGCACAAAAGATTCCCGGGGTCAGACTCCTCAGCACGACGACCCTCGATCCGTTATCCTTCTTGATCTCGTCCAGAACCTCCGTGAAGGTCTCCACCATGCCCCGACTGAAGGAATTCTTGGCTGCCGGCCTGTTAAGGCCAATGACCGAGATTCCCTTGCGAGCTCCCTCCAATCGTTCCACCAGAACTTCATCTCCATCGCCGACAGGTACCTCTGAAGCAAAGTGGCGGGAGGCGGCCAATGGACGGGCGATCTGACGAGTTATTCTCGCCACTCTTTGCATTAAAAGAGACATTTTAATTATGGAAAACCAGACGGAAAAACAAACGAAGAAAGTGCAAGGGAAATTGTTATAAAACAACCGGCAGAAAACAGCTGTTGCCGCCAGTGCTGCGCAAAGAACGGGGCTGCCAGATGGCCAGAAGAAGCTTTTGCCCATCAGCCAGAACGGCCAGATCGTGAATAATCGGTATTATTTTCGATAAAAACAAAAACAGTGCTGCCAACTTAGCTCTTTTGGGCAAAGCTGGAAGTAAACATCGACATCAATTAACAATATACCATATTCCAATGCCTTGAAACCTATTTTTCCTATTAAATAAATAATTAATATAAAGAACAACTGAATTGCTAGAGTTAATATGCAAAATCTAATATGCAATTTGTATTTGCAAGCTTTTTCATTTTCGAATAGGCCCGGTCTAGCCTGAAATAAGCCAAACTGGCAACACTGTCCAGAATAAAGTTTAACATAATTTTGTTTAAAAAAATTTCAATTTAAAGCAAAATTCTAATTAACAATGTACGACCAATTCTGTTAATCATAGATACTAATACAAGATACAAGCTGCCTCCAGGAGCAGCTGGGAATCTCTGAATCAAACACCGGTCCGCCTGCTATTCGTCTAAAGGCCCTTTCTTGCCGTATGACGAAGTCTTGCCAAAAGTGAAACCACCAACAATAGAAAACAACTGATTGGAATCTCTGACTGATAGTGCCGTGTAAGTAGCGCAAATAGCAACACAAGAGCTTTTACCCCATTTCCATCTTCTCTTCAGAGCATTGCTGTCGGGAGCAGGATGCTGATGCGCGGCGTGCAGCTCCTGCAGCGAAGACACCAGCAGGTGGGACGGGCCTTCAGCCAGTGCGCCGTGCCCTGTGAGCTCCGAAATGTCTGGAGCCAAAGTGAGGGAAATCTCTTCAAGCCGAAGCCCTGGAAGAGACCTGGTGTCTTCCTGCAGTTGCGATGCAGCTCGGGCGGCAGCGATTCCAAGAAGAATGAGACACCTGTGGTGGCCGATCAAGTAGAAGTGAAGCCGAAGGAGGCACCCGGTATTAAAATGACCAAAAAGTTAGAGGTGAAGACAACGAAGGGCATCCTGTCCATCAGCACCACCATCGAGGACTCCAAGATCAATGAGATTGTGTTTGAGAAAACCGATATGCCGGCGGTGGCCAAGCTAAAGGAGCCTGCATTGGCCACATCAGCTATTAATCTGATGACCAATTCGGCCGCTGCGGCGACCGCAACAGCAGCCACAGCGAATGTCTTTGGCCCGCCTGCCGAAACTCCTGTTTTAGTTTCACCTATCTTGGCAGGCGCTCTTACTCCCGACAAGTCAGCAGCTGGAGCTCCTCAAACGACAGCATCAGAGGGTGCAGCTCCTATCCCCGCGCTGCCGGCGAAGCGAGCGCGTTTCGATTATCGTTCCTCCCTGGAGCGCAACTTTGTGACGCCTGCCCGGGCCATTAGCGACTTTCTGCTGACCACCGGTGATCTTGACAGCCTACCCAAGATCAAGCGGAGATCGCCGTATGAGCAGGAGCCGCCCATGACCGTGTACTGGCGTCGCGATGTGGAGGCCAAGGCAGTGGAGGTGTGGGGTTCCAAGGATAATCTGTTGCGAGAGCGACTTAAGCGAGAGGTGGAGCGCAAGCAGTACCAGCAGAGTGAGTGTCGCTTTGTCCAACCTTCAATGTGGATGCTAAAACCCTTGCCTCTGCAGATTTGTTTACGGTGAAGCGGCGTTTGCGCGACTACCGCCGGGAAATGGGATCCCGAACGAAAGTGATGATCGAAGACAGAAAGGACTCCGAGAAGTCGGGTCAGGTGGTCGCCACCGCCATAGCCATGTAAGTTCTGCAACATATGAATAATAGAGTCTTTTAATGAAATCCACTCCTTTTAGAAATGCGGCCAATTTGCTCTTCAAGGCCGGCGGATGGTTGTACAGCGGCTCCCACAGCATGTTTGCTGAGGTTATCCACTCGCTGGCTGATCTGATCAACCAGCTCATTCTAGCCTTTGGCATCTACAAGTCCTCGCAAAGTCCAGACACCGATCATCCGTATGGTTACATGAACATGCGTTATGTTTCCTCGCTGATCTCGGGTGTCGGCATCTTTTGTGTTGGCTGCGGTCTGTCTATTTACCACGGAATCGAGGGCATTCTCCACCCGGAGCCCATCACAGATCTTTTCTGGGTGTACTGCATCCTGATGGGTTCACTGGTTTCGGAGGGTGCCACTCTGATGGTGGCCATCAATGAGCTGAAGCGTGCGGCCAAGGTTAACAATATGACTTTCAAGGACTATGGTGAGTTTCGATGATAAGTTTTAAGGTTATGTAATGATTAATTTGGTCTTCCACACAGTGATTTCTGGCAAGGATCCCTGCGTGAATGTGGTGCTCTGCGAAGACGCCGCCGCTGTGGCTGGTGTCATAGTTGCCGGTGCTTGTATGGGATTGAGCAGCTATACGGGATCACCCCTCTTCGATGCCGCCGGATCGCTCGTTATTGGCGCTCTTCTGGGTGCTGTGGCCTCCTTTATTATTTACACGAATGCTAACGCCCTGGTGGGCATCTCCATTGCCTCTGAGCGCCTAGAGAAGATCAACTCTGCTTTGGAGGCGGATGTGATGATCAGAGCCATTTACGATGTCAAGGGCATCGATATTGGCAACGCTCGAGTCCGCTACAAGGTAAGACCTTCGACTTGAGCTGGTTTCCTCAGACTAAAGTGTAATCCCACAGGCTGAGCTCGACTTTGACGGTCGGGAGCTGACGCGTTCGTATCTGGACAAACAGGATCTGGCCAAGCTGCTGACGGTGCGTTGTGACCCATTTTCGGGGACCTTTGGCTAACCGGTTTTCATTTCTGTCTTGCAGACGGTTCGGGGCTTCCAAAAGGTGGAGGATCTGGAGACCTTTCTGCTGGACCATGGCGAAAACATTGTGGACCTGATGGGCGGTGAAATTGATCGCATTGAAATGAATTTGCGGGTGAGTTGTCCTGGACACTCCTTGGATGTTAACTAATTTATAATTCTATCTCTGCCTAGACCCAATTCCCGGAAATACGTCACGTGGATCTGGAAATACTCTAAGAGCCCTCCGGTTGCCTGGAGGCACTGTTAAGAACATAAAGCATTGGGTGATTTGGTTGCTTTCTATTAGAAATTATTGCCTGTCTAGCTTATATTTATTTGCCAAATTCGTACTTTTAGAATGTAACTACATATGTATGTATAAGCTAAGCATTAAAAGTGTATAGCCGCGGGCTTGACAAGCGTTTCGGTGGCCTTTTGAAGGATGCTTCTGTTTATCAATTTGTAGTTTGTTGTATCCTAGAGTGTTACGTCCTTCCTGTGGGCCAGCCGAGTTCAAAGTTTACTTTAAATAATAATAATTATTGTACAATTTGCTGCACTTGTGTTGGGTCAAGGGGTCAACGAAAACGAAAGCAAGAGTGGTGGAAAGTTTTCGCTTTTTATGCAACTGCAGGTAAGTCTTCCCTGTCTCTCTTTTTCGTTAGCTCTCTTCTGCTGTTTGTTTAGCAGCGCTCGTGGCTTTCACTGTTAAGGTTTGAGGTTCGGCGGCGGCTGTTTGGGAATTTTTTCAGTCTCGCTTGGCACGGTCGACGCATCGGTGGTGGGGTAAACAAAATTCCCTAAATATTATCAGCAAGTGAACATAAATCATTCCAAAAAATATAGCGGCTCTGTGTGCTAATTAAAACAACAATAAATTGCGAAATAAAATTAAGGACACTTGCCGCGCGTGACAACAAAACAAGTTTTCGTTTTAAATTTCGTTTAGATATTCTCTGATGATCGCGTTTGTTTACCCCTCTAATTGAGTAAAATAAACAAAAGGAAAGTTCAAGCGTTAAGGGCAGGAACTTTATTCATCATTATTTGCTTATGAGTGATTTTGCATAAATAGATTTCTTTCACAAAAACCACACAAGAGGTGAGTGACCCCAAGACAAACAATAGGTTTGTTGTTGGTACAACAAAAGAAGATTTTAAAGTCACACAAAAAGCTTGAGATGGCTGGGAAAGTGTTGAAAATATTACAAAATATTTGTTAGAAATTATGAAATAATATAAAACTTGAATCATAAAACAGTTTGAGAGCTTTGGAATAAAAATAATTAGTATAATACTTAAATAAAATATAGATCTTACCATCTCTTAATCCAGTCTTTATTATAAAAAGCTACAAACTATAGTTATAAAGTTTTATAGATATAGAACTTTATTCGAAGTAGAGCATTACCCGACCGGCTTGACTTTAAATATTCCAGCAAATCTAATTTGGTTTTTTAATTTGAGCTTTCCGATTACTCTGTGTGTCGACCCATTAACGGTACGAACAGCGACAAACGCAATTTACATGCTAATTAGTAATTGTCACTTGAAACATTATTGGACTCGAATCCAGGGGGTTTCCCCGCGTCCAACTTAGAACCCCATTCGAGCCAAGAGCCACCCGCTTCAGGTGCTACTACTTCAGCACTGCAAACCCACTCGAATTGAGGTCAATTGCAATTGCTGATTCAGTTTCATTTGCAGCGACAACGATCAATGCCAAAGCTCGCCCTCAAAAGGTAGAGATGATCAATCAATTGAGTTCGTCGCGTCTCTGCAATGCATCAATTAGTTAACAAATTGATTTTAATGGCTGAACATATCCCTCGATCTCTTAGTGTTCACTGGATGAGAATGCAGCTCTGGGGTCTTTTGTTTTTGGTGCTCACGAATATAGTTCATGGTGAGGAGGTGGCAGGATCAACAGCGCCCACCAAGCCCAACATCATATTTATTTTGGCCGATGATCTGGTAAGTCTAACTTACCATTAAAACAAACGGAATTCTGATTATATGTGGTGATTATATTCCCTCCTAGGGCTTTAACGATGTGGGCTTTCATGGCTCAGCGCAGATTCCCACGCCCAATATCGATGCCCTGGCCTATTCGGGCATTATTCTGAATCGATACTATGTGAATCCCATTTGCACGCCTTCAAGATCGGCTCTGATGACGGGGAAATATCCCATTCATACAGGTGAGTAGGGATTCCCAAATCAGGATCTTCTTAAAAAAGTCACTATCCCTTTCAAGGAATGCAACACACGGTACTCTATGCCGCTGAACCTCGAGGCTTACCTCTGAAGGAGAAGATACTGCCACAGTATTTGAATGATCTGGGGTGAGTTCCAGAATACTATATATGTACACTCCTTATATTTATCTGACCTACTTGTAGGTACGCCTCTCACATTGCCGGCAAATGGCATCTGGGCCACTGGAAACTGGAGTATACACCTCTTTACAGGGGCTTCCGCAGCCATGTGGGCTTCTGGTCCGGTCACCACGACTACAACGATCATACCGCCTTCGAGCACAACCTCTGGGGCCTGGATATGCGAAATGGCGCTGATGTGGCCTATGATTTGCATGGAAAGTACACCACCGACGTGATAACCGAACACTCGGTCAAGGTGATTGCCAGCCACAATGCCACCGAAGGACCTCTATTTCTGTACGTGGCCCATGCCGCCTGCCATTCGAGTAATCCCTACAATCCGCTGCCTGTTCCCGATGAGGATGTCATGAAGATGGGCCATATTTTACACTATAAGCGCCGGAAATATGCAGGTAGCTTCTCTAGATCCGTGAAGAGGTTTTTCGCTAAGATTCCATTTCCCAATCCCCAGCTATGGTGTCGAAAATGGACGAGTCTGTGGGCCAGATTGTGGATCAGTTGCGCAAGTCAAATTTGCTGGAAAACTCCATTATTATTTTCTCCTCGGACAACGGAGGTCCAGCCCAGGGCTTTAACCTGAACTTTGCCTCCAACTATCCGCTAAAGGGTGTGAAGAACACCCTCTGGGAGGGAGGAGTCCGAGCAGCTGGTCTGATTTGGTCGCCACTCCTCAAGAAGCGCGAAAGGGTCGCCGACCAGACAATGCACATTTCCGACTGGCTGCCCACGCTCCTGGAGGCAGCTGGTGGGCCTTCCGCCCTGGCCAATCTTAGCCAGGGATTAGATGGCCAGAGCATTTGGCAGGCCTTAACCCATGACGAGGCATCTCCGCGTCGAACTGTGCTTCACAACATAGACGATATCTGGGGCAGTGCCGCTGTGACCGTGGGCGACTGGAAAGTGGTCAAGGGCACCAATTACAAGGGCGGCTGGGATGGATGGTATGGACCGGCTGGCGAACGGAATCCTCATGCCTACGACTGGCAGTTGGTGGCCAAAAGCCCGGCGGGTAAGGCTCTGGTGGCTCTAAAGATGCTACCAAGTCAAGCCGATCAGCAGAGGCTACGTGAAGCGGCCACCGTCGTGTGTCAAGGTCAATCTTCCCAGGGCAGCAGCTGCAAGGCCACCGCATTCTCAGCTCCCTGTTTGTTCCACATACGGGACGATCCCTGCGAGCAATTCAACCTGGCGGAGCAGTACCCAGAAGTCCTTAGGGATCTGATGGCGGAGTTGGCTCGCTTTAACTCCACAGTGGTGCCGCCTTCCAATAAGCCTGCAGATCCCCGAGCCGATCCAAGGTACTGGAACTTTACTTGGACGAACTTTGGAGACTCTTTCCACTATGATAAAGAACCCATTATTGGGGATCTGAGCTTGGTTTTGAAAAACTAACCAGAAAAGACTGCCTAGAATAAAGAGATTCATTTTTAGTTTGACTAAATTTATATGAAATTGTTTTCTTTATTGAACTGAAGATTATTTTCAAATTGAACGAGCCCGCCAAAGTTAACAGACATATCGATAACTTGACAGTTATCGACTGTGCTTAACATTTCTCTGTAGCGGCATAAAGTTTAAAACAACCATACCTAAGTCAAAATAGCGTTAATTTAAATTTGGAGAGCTTTTTTGTTTGGGTTTTAATTACCTTAAAAAATGTATTCCGCATTTGATTGATTTTGATTATTTTAAGATGTTAAAAAATGGAGTTATTTTTTTTTTAATTATTTTTCCTTATATTTTGTTATAGGGTTTTAATGGCCTGTATATACATAAAAATGTCTTTTGTTAATACTGGCTTTAACAACCTTTTATATCCTGAAAAGGACTTGAAAAATGCACCTATTGTTAAGTTTAATATTTTTCTTTCTTTTTTTATAACCCTTTATAGTACCATTTACTACCCCTTATTTCGTTAATATGAGCTCTTATGTATCTATAATATTCTAGACTTTCTCAAGAAGAGTTTGAGCCTTTTCCCCTCCCAGTAAAACAGAACAAACAGTAGGTTGGTTGTATTATGAAACCCCTCAGACAGGGCAAAGTATCGTTTATTATTTGTTTGTAAAATTGGTTTACAGCTTATATTGCTTAGCGCATTATGAAATACAAATACTTGCACGATTATAAACAACATCAAATGCGACAGCTTGAGTCCGAGTGCGTACATTCAATGCGCTATGTGGTACGGTTAATTCAGGGGATTCACACGAATCTCTGGCTTGGGGGTTCTAAAGAAACCCCCAAGACAGGCTTCCTCGCATCCTTCTCCCTCCAACGATTTCTGTGAATCCCCTGATAGATACAATACACTTACGCTAGTAACATGGGCTTATATCAAAATTCTACTATAGTACCGAAAAAACTGGATAATCATGCATGTGGGTGCTAAACGCCATCAGTTAGTTCGGCTGAACACTTCAATTTTGATTAGATTTGCTTGCTTGGTCGGCTCTTTTCTGAGATTCCTAATCCTACGCGTCTACGGAGAACTTGAAAGTGAGTTAAGATTTTTATAAGCGCCATAGGCGGAGTCTAGGTGTATGGAGAGGACTTAATTTGGCATATAAAAGGTTACAAAGGGTTCGGATAGAGATGCAGAAGCGTGGTCTCTTCGTGCAAAGCCTGGCGATAGGACGACCTGGATCCGGCTTCCCGATTCCTTGTCGGAGTCGGGCTCGGGGTCGGGGTCCAGGGCAGAGCTCCACACGATCCTCGGATACACATGCGACTCGCTTTCCGTCTTGGCCGTGGACCGATTCCGGCGACGGAGACTCCGACGAGCCCCAAGACGGGCCTAAATGCGCTCGGTGACGTAAACCTTCGCGGAGGCGGGAGCATTCGACCGCCGCACGGCAAAGGTAACAATAATGCCGATGAAGATCAGTGTAATGCCAATGGCACTGGTGATGTAGTGCTCCACGAGCTTGTTTTCCGTGCTGCAAGAGGAAAGGGATTTCAATTGAAAATTTTGGATGATAGGAGGAGCAAATGAAGATATTGGAGCTAGGTTGCACTATATTTATTAAAGCTATGTT